CTGCTGAATGGACGATGGAGTGAAATGGACCTGGAAGAGTCCTCCGATGACCACGTCTCCTTCCTGCTGCAGACTCACCTCCTTCTCGGTGTTCTGTCTGGAACAGTGTAGAGTCGGTTCCAGCCGCCCCGGTGCCAGGGGCCACAGCAGCAGAACCAGGGGCCATGGCAGCAGAAACATCAGTGATCACAGTAACGGCCGGGGATTCAGTAAGTAACCAAATATAACATCAGAGACTTCACTGACACTGTAAAGTCAGAGGTAAAGATGATTAAAATTTCAAACCTTATTCAACACGTAGAGTTCAGGTCCTGCACACACACACACACACACAGAGTCTGTGTTTGTGTAGAAGGAAAGTGAGGACAGAAGATTTTTATAGTAGTTGGAGGGACGTCAAACTGAAAACAGCAGCACATGAAAAATGACCTGAGTCTCTGGAGTCAGGAAGAAAAACAAGTGATTATGATGTTACTGATGGAGAGTGCGTGCGTGTTTGTGTTTGTGTGTGTGTGTGTGTGTGTGTGTGTGTGAACGTGAGGCTTTATGTCCTTTAGTAACATTTTAGCGACTTCTTTGCAAACTTTAGACATCGCTAAGTTTAACCAAATCTCTGCTAACCTTTAGCTGGTGTGCCTCAGATATGATTTGGTTTTTGTAAGTTCTTTAACTATTTCTGGGTGGAAATTGTCCTTTTTTCTATAAGTATTTTTAGTATTTGAAGCCAATTCTAGGTTTAAGTTTATTAACATTTATTTACTCGGCTAATGAAGCTAAATGTTTCCTTTTTCTTGTCTTTGACAAATTTCACGGCAAATGTTTGTCAACATTCAGCTACTGGTGATAAATTGCATCTTATTTTGAAGCTGTGTTTTTATTTCTAGCTAAATGTTTTTATTTAACGTTATCTTGAATTCCTTAAAAACGATTTCAAAGTATGAATTTGTTCACTTTAATTTTTAAATCTAGTAATTAGTTTTCTTTTATTAATTTTGAGCACAATATATATATTTATTTATAACTGACTTACTGTTGAGATTTAATTTAATAAATGTTTAGCTGACAGTGTTCTTTCCTTAGCCATTCTTATTGGTTGTGATTCATTTAGCTACTTTCTAGTAGTTGTTCAGCTGTGTGTGCAACATTCATGTATTAAGAAAATAGATGAAAAACAAACTCACAACAAGCTTGACTTTAACAACCAAAGTTTAAGAAGCCTGTTGTGAATATGTTTCCACCAAAGTGTGTTTTGAGGGAAATCATTTTCCCAGAGCAGCAGCTGTTCACTTCTCAGCTCCATTAAACTCATTTCAAGAGCAATTACATCTGATTACGTTGAAGCCGCTGAAGCCGTCGGGATTTAATCATAAACACATCTGGGCTCAACTCCATCCGGACCCCAGGTCTGGTTTTTCTTGGTGTTTTTAGAGATGATCGGTTCTCTCTTGTTCTGTAGTCTGAGAACCTCGGTGCTTTCTGGTGAACCAGTGGAAGTGGAACCAAAGTGGCCGTAGGTGACTGTAAAACTAAGACCCCACAGCCACCAAACATTTGGTTTCCTCTGTGGACCACTGCACATTTTTTTTCTCCATGTCCACTGTCCATCGCTTTTTTATTATTATTATTTTTAAAACATAGAGTAAGACACGCCCACTGATGATGTCACAGTATTAAGGGAAGAACTGGGTAGTTATTGGCTCTTGAAAACCAACTTTTCAGGTTTTTAACCTGTTATTCTTTTTAGTATGTGCCGGCTAGTTCAAAACCAGGTTCGGGGCCCGGAACAGGCACGGTCCAATATGTGACCTGTGAAGGTACAGTCGGTACCAGGAACCAGAGATGGCTCCATAAGACTTTTTCATGTCTCGTACAAATACTGCAACCTGGAGTATCTGCTCATAGTGACCAGTATATAGTATGGATGTAATACTTAATGTAACCAGTGGGTGGAGCCTGGACCTCAGTGATGTAGTGGACGAGTGTCCAGCTGAAGACATGACAACACAGGACAGAACAGACAGGTCATCTGTTTGTTTGACCGCTCTCTTCTTTGTTGGTTAAACAAGTGCACACAGCTGACATGCTAACAGCTAACCCACTGTCACTCAGGTTCTACTGTTGTTGTCATGACACGTTCTGCAGCAGCTGGGTCTCTGATAGAGTTTGGGTGTATGGTCAGCTTGGTCCCAACCTGTGGATCTGATCTATAAACTGAAATTTCAGCCAATATCCAGTGGTCACTAATCCAAAGGATTGGATCAGATTATTTCCCCAGAATTAAACCATACTCATCTTTTTTTATACTACTGGAACAGGAAGTCATGTGAGGTTTTACTAGACTCTGAAAAGACAAGACCCGTGTTTAAAGTTTTAAGTCAAAGATCTGTTTATTTTATTGCATTTGTAGGAAAATCACAGACCTTCAAAAACAGACGATACTAGAGAAAGGATGGTGTTCACACTGGAAGAGCTGAAAGAAACAGAAACTCACTTTTACTTTTGTCTTCATTTCATGAAGTACATACAAAAACAAAAACACCAACAGGGTTTTTTCGTTTTTACAATCTGTATCAAAGTAATTATAAAAATAAAACCTTTAAATTCCAAATCTTTGAGCATTTTCAGTCACTATTTTTTAGATTCTAAAAAACAAGTGTTGGAAGTTGACGTGAAATATTGCACTGACTTCTAAACAAACAATTTCTTTTCTTTTGTGCAAAAAGATGTTCTGGACCGAGACTGGACATGGACCGGAGGATCTGCTGCATAGTCATGCTGGACACGTTCACAGGTGACATGCACACATAAACTCACACACACGCACAGCTACGGTCACCAACTGCCCCCCTCATATTAAATCCAGCCTGGGTTTAAAAATCAACAATATAAAACAAACATAAACGTGAGCACTGAGAACAGAGGTGAGAAACTGGACCTGTCACCAGGTCAGTTCTGGTAAAAGCAGATTATTCTACACATTCAGATAATTCATGTAAAACATTTTCGGACTCCGCTGCAGGAGAAAGTTCAGGGCTTTGAAGTGTGTTTGTATCAGAGGTTCTGCTGCTGACCTGGTCCTGAAAAAAATATCTTCTCAATTTTCTTCTTCTTTTGTTAAGTACTCATATGATAAAAGACTCAAATCTTTGAGAACCAGCATCTGAGTCCAAGTCTAGTCCAGCGATGGTGACCAGAACCTCAAACAACCACACTTCAAAATCCAGAACGACGTCTTTAAAACCAAGGTCCTTTTTGCTTCATCAATAACTCCGTTCAGTAGTCCTGACAGTAAACACCAACTGGACAAATCTAACAATTTACTGTACAATCAGTCCAGGACACAGAAGGACACAGAAGTTCCTAGAAACATTTAAACATCTATCTGCATTTAGACAAAACAGTTCCAGAGCACAAAAACAATTTGGTACCGACAGTGAAAAGTTCTAACTTCATGCTGTAACATCCGAGCTTAGACTTTATTTACTTTGTGACGCTGCTGTAAAACCATACAGACGGGTCTTTACACAAACAAAGAAACAAACGATAGAAAGAACCAGATTCTTTTTTTGTGTGTGAAGTAAAACCCAACCAAACGTCTGTGCTTCTTCAGTTTGGATCAGTGCTACAGTCTGAGCAGGAAGTAGACCTCAGGCTCTGACACAGAGCTGAAGGAGTTTGCATTTGAAAGAGAGCCGTCGGTAAAGTAACGATCGCTGAAACAGTCCCCGTTTCCGTACCTCAGTGACGTGCACGCTCCTTCAGGAAGCCCTCGGTCCTCCAGCTGGTCCAGGTAGCCTGGGATGTAGGAACCAGTTGAGTGTCTGTTAACTGGTGTAATCTGGGACGATGGTTTGTTCCTGAACACAACTCCACTGACACCAGAGCTGCCATTGTTGATTACACCCGGTCGGGACTTTGTAGCTTCTTGCTGTCTTTCGCGAGCACGATTGTTTATGTGACGGACCCGACTTTGGCTGCGACTGGACAGGCGTCGGGTGAGGAGCGGTAGGGATTCGTCTGGATCCTTGTCTAACGTACGGACGACATCTGTCTCCTGTGTCAGCAGTGATTTGGCTTCATGTTGCCACTGAGGAGAACATGTTCCACCTTCATTCATATCCTCTCCCTCAAATGTGACCAGTTTCCGTAGCTGTTCTGTGAGTGGGTCGCAGGACTGTGACTGGACGGGGGTTCTTCCCAGAGCAGCTGCTCTCTTCTGCCTCCTCATATGTGGTGTAATAAAACTCCGACTGATGATGTTATATTTGCTTTGGAAGTTACACGATATGTCTTCAGAGGTCAGGTCTCCCAAGGACTTGGACTTTAAAGACTGGCTCGGACTTGGGGAGTCCTCAGAAGCTGAGTGGGAACGAGATGCTAAAGGTCTCCTGGTTTCAAGCTGAGACTGCGGCCGCGGGGAAGTTTTGACCAGGCCATTATGGTTCCATGTTTGTTTGGGTTTATTTGACTGGGTTTGAGTTTGTGCCTGGGTGTTTGGAGGAGCTGAGGGCCCTGGAGAGGGTGTCATGAAGTCACGCTCCCCTTGTGTGTACCAGCCACTACTGTCTGAAGTGGGCTTCCACTGAGCTTTGTTTTTGAATGTGTTTGAAGATTGACAACTTAGACTCTCAGAGGAAGACCAACCACCGTGAAAACCCTGGAGCAGCTCTGGTTGGTCGCATCCAGGTCTGTTTTTCTGAGACCAGTCAAGAATCTGGCTGCTGCTGAGACACCGCTGTTGTTTAAAGGAACTCCTGACATCTCTGCTGTTGTTGGGAGGATGTGAGTGGATCTTCTGGGCATGTGGATTAGGATTGGACAAGGTGGAGTTGGCAGGTCTGGTAAAGAATGAAGAAGGGAAGCTGTGCTGGTGGTCAGACATGTGGTTGGAAGGAGGAGGAGCATGTGCAGGCTGCAGTGGCTGGTGATGGTGGTTAGAGAACTGGTGGTTTAGTTGTGGGTAGTTTTGAGCCGGCTCGTGGTTTTGATAAATGGCATGCCTTTTGGTTGGACTGAGCAGTCCCTCCCGTTGACTACCATGTCTCTGTGAGGTCATAATTGTGTCCAGGGGATCCTCATCAACGTTAATCTCAACTTCTCTAAAATCAGTTCTTGCCCCATCCTGGTGCAGTCTAAGGTTGTGGTTAGTTGCGTTGCTCATAAACCTGTTAGCTGTGTTCCATTCTGGCTCAGGTGACAACAGATCCTTCACCTCCTCGTAAACTCGCTCCTCTGCCTCCTCCATATCTTCACCCCTTGATGTGTTTGTGACTATATGATTGTTTTGATCCTTCTCTCCAACTTGGACAGTTTTCATAGCCGAGGTCTTGGGACTGTTCACAGACATGAGGTCCACACTATCAGTGGGATTTTTTATCACCTGGTTCCTCAGGTAAAAAACTGACGCTGGTGAAAGCACCTCCTCATCCAGGATGGTGTAGACCTCCTCCAGCTCAGCTGTTTCTGGACTGGACAGTAGGGCTGGAGTGGGTGTGTCTGTTTGAGAACTCTGAAATAATCTGGAATAATTTGGAGTAACACCTAGATTCATGTGGTCCATGTTCAGTCGAGGGACAGAGGTCAAGTGATTAGAGTTGATCTTAAAAGGTGACCTTGAAATCTGCAGAGATTTGGGAGTGGCAGGTCTGAGGTTGGAGTGAGCAGGGGGAGTTTGATTACAAGATATAACCGAAAAGTCTTTCTGTTCACCAGTGGTTTCCAACTGACCAATCAGAGCAGAGATAGACCCACAGGTGTCCTGATCATTGTCTGAGGAGACGGCTTCGATGAGTCTGGATATGGTGCTGTCCTGCAGAGAGCCAGGACTCCTCAGGTCATAGTCCAGGCTCACAGGAGAAAGAGGTGCTGCAGAAGAAGAAGAGGAGGAGGAGGAGGAGACTGAAGGTGCAGCTGTGAAGGCCGTGTTGTTTGATAAAGTTTCAGGTTTTTCTGGAACTCCCTTGTTTGTGGAACGGTTCTTCTCTAATCCTGTGGAGATCTGAGTCGTCTTTGACTCCTTGTTCTCTGAGCGGTAGTTGATATAGTCGTCCTCTGTTCCTACTTCCCCTCTTCCTCTACCGATAACCAGATAGGAGGTCTCGTCTGATTGGTCCACGTCTGGAATTCTTTGTTCATGAGACGGAGAAGAGACTCTTGGATCCGCAGGAAATGGGGATGAGATGAAAAAGTCTACGGAGGAAGACCTGAGCCTGTTGAGAGGACCAAGTCCTGAGGAGACAAGAACGTTCACAAAAACATGAGAAAAAAAAAACCAAAACAAAAAGACTCAAAATGATGTGATGCTGAACACGATCACATGACAACAAGTAGCAGTCCAGCCAGGTCATGGAGGTTGTGATAAAAACAAATGGATCACCAATACAACTGTTACGGGTATTGGGGGGGCAAAAAGGAAGAAGAGTTTGGGAAGAGCAGATCAGGGACAAGATGATCGAATGGGATCAAACATTTAGACCACTAACAGAATACAGCGATTGGACGAGATGCTGACAACGTCTGTACATAATGCAGCAGTCAGGGAGCTGGGCTGTCACTTTTTATCCAAACTTCTGTCGATGGTTTGAGTTCCTTTCAAGTCTTGTATTCACCCTGTCTGACTGAAGAGGGCAGTCTGAGCAGAGTTGTAACTCTTCTAAACACGACTCATCTGAACCTGTCTGTTCCCTCTGCTTCTGGCCTTACCTGACGACAGGCAGCCAGTCTCACGGGAACGTCCCACGAGGACATGTGGACGCCAACGAGAAGATAAGTTGCAGATTTTATTCTGCTGTATTTTAAAAACAAACTGAAGTAAACTTCTGCTGTGACATGAATATAATAATAAATAATATTAAGATAAGCTACAAATGCAAAGTTACGCTACAAAGTCCTGAGAAGAAGGTTGACAACAAGATTTCTACACCAGGGACTTGAGGTCTGATCAGGTTAAGAGAGTTCTAACTTGTCAGATAAAGTTAATTGGATTTATTATTTGGGAAAAAGTGACAGCCCTGGCCCAGAGTCGTGGTTCTGGATTACCTGCAGGAACATCCTAGTCAGTTCTCTACCGCAAAGAAGCACAACAAACGAAGACGAGACAGAAAAAGTTTGTTAAGGTTTTTTTGAGAGAAGAACTCTGCTGTTAGGTCATAGTTCACAGACACAAAGGTAGAAGTTAGGACAAAAATGGACTAACTCTTAGTAAAAGGTTCAAATGTTTCACAGGTAGAGAAAAGACAGCACTGAAAATAAAATGATGTTCACAGACACAGAGACCAGTCTGAACTGGTTTTAGTCATTAACATCAGACACCTGCAGGAACCTGCACATTGTGTGAGGACTTTATGACTGACTGACTGACTGACTGACTGACTGACTGACTACTGACTACTTATATATATATCATATATACTAATACTCTTATATATACTTATACTCAATATACTTAAGGACCACGGCCTCAGTTTCACTGGTCTCGTTCTACTTTGGCAGATGTGACACCTGTGAAGGAACAGCCCAAACTATAGAACTGATGGAGGCTGAGGACATTGTTGATCTTCAGGACTTACCCAGGACGGTGTCTTCACTGACGTCCAGCTGCTCTTTGTCCTGGGAGCAGATAGACAACTGTCCCTGGAGGAGTCTCTCCAAAGGCATGGACATGGGTCTGTGGATGAGGGGAGGTCTGGGTTGCAGACGTTTCTCCACACATACGTCTTGTCCTGAAGTTCCTTCTGCTCCTCCACCACCACCTGCTTCTCCTTCACTCCTCTTATCCGAGATGCAAGCCTCTGACTCTGACAGCACCATCTTGGACTTCTTCTTGCGTCCTTTAGCCGGAGCGCTGGCTGTGCGTCTCAGCAGGTGATCGCTGATGGAACGCTTGCGGAGTGCAGTGGAGTTGGTGTCTGAGGAGGCCTTAGAAGATCGGTTGAACAGACCTCGGATCCCTCGCAGCTGTTGGCCCTGAAGAGCAGGAGAGAAACAACAGAAGAGGGTAAAACAAAATTTCACAAATCTTAAAATTTGACACCTAATTTGGTCTAAATTATATAATTTATATAATATTTTTTCCTAAATCATTTTTGAAAAAATAGATTTATTAACCCAAATAGAAAGTAGGCCCAGAAAATATGCCTAAGTTAGCCTGTAAAATAACTAATTGTTAGGAAAAAAATAGTTAAGACTAAGGAAAACAAAAATCTTAGCCTCGAGCACGATTCACTTGACAATCATTTTTTAAATGTTTTGACTTTTACTAATTCCCTAAGCTAACATGACTTTTTCTTTGTCTGTTTATTCAGACTAAAAGGCTTTTTTCTTTTAGGCTTTTTTGTAAAATGTGGGCTATTATTAGCAATATTTGTCTAATATTGTGCTAATTATGATTAATTAATAACACTTAACATTTTATGTGTGTTTCTTTTTTAAGATTTTCTGTGTGTTTATATTATTAATGTTGTATTTATTACATTTCTAAGGTAAGTCAATCAGTTGACTCGGTTGTTAATATAGCTTATCTTTGGCTTTAAAAAAAAAAAAAAAATCTTTAAGTTACACAGCATTTTGCACTAACTACCAGACTCATTTTCACAGGTGTAGGTGTCACTATCAAACCTAAGTGTTTGCTAGTGATAGTAAATTAATATTTACATGATACACAGGTTTAACACACTCTTTTGAGGAAGATGAGGAAGAAATGCATGCTCTTACTTCCGCGACCTGCAGATGGCAGTCTTTTATACCACACGAGACCAAAATACACTGACATGTACTGTATGTCACATGCTTTAGAGACACAACATTCCACATTTTTGAAACAGTGAAGGCAGCAGCAGTTGTCTGTGGTTCAAATTCAAGTAAATCAACCAATCTACCACACCACAGTGCACAGAATAATCAGTGTGAATTTCTCTGTTGACTTTGGGCTGGGACATTGAATGCCTCTAAAAATAATACATATGTTGTGTCAGTATTTCATACACAATTAATTGTGTATTATATGCAATTTTCTTATAAAATCAGCATCAATAGAGAAAAACAAACGAAAACCACAGATGTGCATCATGCAGCAGCAGCAGCAAACACAACATATATTTATACCTTATTAGAGCCTAAAAGGTGCATAATGGTGAAGCTGGGATTCAACACTAGAGGGCTCCACTAGAAAAACAGGTTTGAAGGAGAAGAGCTTCAAAACATTGAGGTAAAAAAACACTTATTTTCAAAGTCGGGAAATTGAGACCACTTCCTGTTACTAAGCAGAAGAGAAGAAGTAGAACTCACCTTTCCATAGACATCGTGCACAGACACGTGGACAAAGATGGAGGCTTCGGTCAGACCCTCTAAGTACACATGCCTGTAACCTAAGGGGGTGATAAAGAGTTAGTATAACAGCTAAATGTTAGCCATTGAAACTGCCAAAAACATCAGAAGCAGTTGTTAGCAGAGAGTCAAAGAAAAGTCAAACATATTTCTGTTTAAAGCCAAAAAGTAATTTATCATTGTTGTCCAACAGATGTCACTATATTGGAGATATTCAACTCTTTTTTTTTATTCTTAATTATTTTTGACTAATAACTAAACTGTCTTTGTGTGGTAACAGTCTATATTATATAATAAAAGACCTCATCACACACCGGGCATCAGGCTGCTGAAGGCAACGGTCCGCTGACCAATAAAATCCCGTCCGATAGGGTCATGATCCCAGACCAGGAAACGGACCAGAGCCACCTCAGCCATGTGGAGAGTGAAGGACAGGGTCTCCTCCCAGACTGGGTTAAAGCCTTAGAACCAACAAACACATGTAATGAGAAATTAATTCCAGACATCTTTGTATTTATGTGTGTGTATGTGTGTGTGTGTCACCATTGTCATCGACTACTCGTGTCTGTTCTTTGCAGCAGTCCACAGGAAGTCCAATGATCTCCACCTCCACAAAAGGATCAATGATCTGATGAAGATGAAAACAAGAATGTACAATTTATCATTTCATCACCCGTCTCTTCCAATACAAAGACTGTGAGAACAGTAAACAAATGATGTGGTTAAACGCTGGAACTAACAGTGTCTGTGATGGAGATGGAAGACTAACAAATACTGTGCCACAAGGGGGCGACTTCCTATTAAAAGTTCTTTACTTAACTAGAAAAAAAACCAAGAAGGGCAACGGCACAAACACGAGAGCCTGTGTGTGTGTGTGTGTTTGTGGGGGGATCACCTCTCCTCTGTCTCCCAGCATGGAGTCTGGAGGCTTAGGCAACTGCTGTCCACTAATGATCTTCAGAACGAGCTGTTTCTTAGGGTTAGCAGGGAGTGGGTCGTCACTGAAGGGGTTGAAGGAGCCTTAAGGAAAAAAGAGGAGCAGAAAAGGAGGACTATGAAGAAGAGGATCAAGAACAGTTGAGGTAAAATGTTCAAAAAGCTTTTTTTTTTTAGTTTTACATATGAGGTTTTCATTCATGTTTCCATTTTTTTCCTGTCAGCTCCATCATTACACAGTGAGATTAAACAGTCTTTGTTTAACCCCCCCCCCCCCCCATGTGTCATTGCAGCTATCATGACATCACCAGTGTTTACTGACAGGTGTCAGAAAAACCCTTTTTGGTAAAGTGTTGGTGAAACCTCAGATTATTGACAGTACCTTTGCACATGGGCGCAGGTTTGAGGACGTAACCACTGCCTCCATTCACCATGAACTTGGCTCTGTTGAGCTGCATCATCCTGCCCTCTGTCTGGTAGTTCAGGGCAACTGAGGGGGAACAGACGGGAGTGAAGGAGTGACTGAGACATGGTTAACAATTTGTCAAATGTCCAACATCTGTTAACTTCCATGCAATGACAAAATAAACAGAAATGATCAGTGACACGTGCAATAACAAAGACAGTGAGTTCTGTTGTTCTCTTTCTGTTGCAGTTCACACCACAGAGGTCAGTTAGTCTCCTGGACTCTAAACTGAAGAAGACCTCAGAGGAAGTGAGCAGCAGATGACTTCCTGTCCCCCTCTTACCCAGCTGACAGCCGACGTTCCAGTAAAACTGAGGGTTGAAATTCGAGGAGTCGATGCGATAGGCCGACGGATAGATGCGCGACAACTGCCTCTGGTTAAAAACCAGGAACCGTTCGGTTTTGTGATGGACCAGAGACTGAGCTCTGGTCTCACTAAAGGACAGAACGTCTCCTGGAGTTCCTGAAGAAGATGAAGAAGAAGAGCAGATTTAGAAGAAGTGTGTGAGCTGGAGGACAGGACGCTCTGTTTGACCCTCTCACCTTCGTCCAGACACTCCTGAGACACCACTGAGTTGGTGAACACCACCAGGTTTGACAGATCTCTGCTCAGCTTCATCGTCTTCCTCTTCCTCCCACACCTAAGACCAAAAGCAGAGACAAAAGACATGAAAGAGAATATATATTTAACTTTTTTCCTTTTATATATATATATATGTACTGTATGTGTGTGTGTATATGTACACATACACACACACATATATATATATATGCATATATGTCTGTCAGAGAAAATAGTTAAAATAGGGAGATTAAGAGAGTAGGGAGAGGGGAGGTTGAAGTGAGAGAGCGAAAGAGAGAGAGAGAGAGTGTCTGTCAATGTCACATCAACAGGATTTGAAAACCACAGGAAACATCATCAAAGAAAACGGAGCTGAACACAGAGCAGGGACCACGCTGGGCTGACAGACTACACACACACACACACACACACACACACACACTGGTGTAGTGTTGAACACAGCAGAGACAAAGTCAGTGGAAAATAAGAGACTGAGCAGATTTTTAAATAATAACAAATTTACATTAGAAACACAGAGGAGGGCGCTGCAGTTCTGCCTTTGAATACTTAAAAAAATATGTCAAAATGAGGAGACATAATATAATATTTATACAGCTGTCTAATGATGTGTGTTCCACTCCAATAATAATTCCATCATTTGGATTAGTCACAGGGGAAATACTGCCATCTACCTGCTGATAGGTCTGTCCCAGAAATGTACCAGGAGCTAGGATCAGACTGAACCTGGATTAACAACATTACCTGTTGACCTGGCCTCCAGACTCTGACCAGGACTTCTCCTGAACCTCCTCCTCCTCCTTATCCACACTGTGACATGTCAACCTGGATTTGGAATGTCTCTGCAGACACACACACACAGATATTTAGGTAAGTTGTCAAAAACTGTTAAAATATCGTAGTAAAGTCACATGTTTTGTAAATATTGCTAAAGTCTGTTGCTCACTGGCTCTAACTTACCTGGTTACAAAGGTTGATTAGTACCATTTAAATTTAAAATGTCCAGATTCTGAGGGGAAGACAGAAATGTCCCAAATGATCTGAAGGCGTCTTCAGTAGTTGAGCCATTTTTCTTTTTGATTTTAGCATCTGCCTCTGCTGATGAACAGTGGTACTACATCTGAAGCTGCAGGTCATGATGGTGTTAAAAATAGGGCTTCACCTTTTATCTACTGTCTGTGCAAAACAACACACAGTGCAGAGGTGTGTCTATTGTGACACTCTTATTGTGTCACTGTGACAAGTGTGTATAAGTGTGTGTGTGTTTTAGTCTCACTTTTATTAGAGCTGAAGTGGACTGAAGGAAACGACGAGAGCTGCTGTAATTACAGGCTGTAGGCTGAGAGCCAGAACATGACGGTCACACACACACACACACACACACACACACACACTGGTGTGGGAGGGTGCGTGATATGTATAAAGAGAGGCATAAAAACAATGCTGAGGATACAGGAGCGGGTAAAGACAGGGAGAGATGTAAAGACCAACACACACACACACACAGACACACACACACACACAGAGAGACAACAGTGTAGACACGTGAGTCTCCTCTACCTTCTGTTTGAGTGACGTGATGAAGGATCTGCTCTGAGACTTCTTCAGAACTCCTCTGGAGCTCTGGAACAAGCACAAAGACAGGTGTGTGTGAGAGCAGTAGCCTCATTACCTGTGATTAATTGGACTAAATATTTAATATATTTAAGATTGGGTTTTTTTTTTTCATAATTTTAAATTTGATTTTTATTAGCACCACAAATTGAGTCCAGTAGTTAGTCTAGTACTTTAGACATTAAAAAAACTTTTTCATTTCTTTGGATTAGCAAATAAACAGAAGTCAACATTTCCTCTCAGAAAACTACAGTAAAGAGACATTAATGTGAGGACAGAGAGGACAGAATCATCTGCAGATTTAAAAGAATCCCAGAAACTGCAGCAGCTAAAAATAACAAATGAAGTATTCAACGTTACTGCAGACTGTTATTGGAAATCTTCAAGCTATTATTTATTTCCTCTCACCGTGACTAATCCAATGACCTACTTACATCCCTCTGTCTTCTCCTTCTTCACCCACCCTTCAGTGAGATTGTGTTTTCATGTGGGCACACACACACACTCATACCTGTCGTAGGTTCTTCTGTAGGCCCTGGTGCGTGGCTCTCAGCAGAGCCCGGATACTAAAACTGTCTGAATCCTCTTTGTCTCCAATCAGAGACTCTTTGAGCAGAGAATCCAGTTTCTTTCTAATGTGAGACTCCACCTGGTGGTGGCCATGTCCCTGAAGGAGGAGGAAAAGAAGAAGAAAGTTAACGAGAAACAAAGGAAAGGCAAAGGAAAACAGGGAGGATAAGAAAAACAGAATAGAACAGAAAAGAAGTTTCACTCCTGGTGATAAAAAACATTTCTGTTTCCCAGCTTTATTTATTTCTCTGTTCTTGTTTCATAAGGAGAAAAGAAAGATACTAACGAGTCATCTTTTATTTCTACCGCCTGTTAAGTGGTGACTGCTGAGAGAACACACTGCTTTAATGAGCTCAATACAGAACCTCTCATTAGTGGAAACCTGCCATGGCTGCTTCAAAACGGCAACCATCATCCAAAGAGGCATCTGCAGCCTGACGCCTGCAGCTAAATGTGGGAGAGAAGGATGGCATCCTCACAGAGAAGAAAATAATAATAACGCCTGTGTTTTCCTGTTGGAGACGTGAGGAGGCGATGGTGCGACACCGCAGAGAAATGAAAAAAACAACAGGGGAAAAAAACAGGCTTCTCTAAAAAAGCAGAGAAGACGTTCAGGATAATCTGCAGCAGAAGATATTTGACCTCAGTTATTCATGTCTGACGCACCAAGCACCAGTGTTCAACAGTGCTGACAACAAATGACCAATGCAACAAGGAGGAACATCACAACAACAAAGACAACAACAAAAACAACAACAAGCTTAAGGAACCTAAGATGGTTCTGCTGGAGGGACCGTGAGCTTCAGGACATTCTGGCTTGGCTTAAGCCTGGTTCTCACTCCCATCATTCCCAAATTGATGTCAGAGCTGAGGGTGTACGTCAAAGCAGGTTTAGTGGCTAAGCAAGCTATGTTAAGTTTAAAGCCAGGCTTTCCTGTACTACAAATTTGGCTCCCCTTTAAACAGGGCTGAATCAACATGGTAACTTTTGCTCAGCTCGTAACCTGGTCCCAACGTGAACCTCCTGTGCAGGGGAGGTGACGTCAACATCTAAAGGTGTTCCTCTGTTATGAAGAACCCGTGGCTCTTCTCTCAGGTCACTGTCACTCACCATCTTCTCACAGGTACCATATTTGTTCTTTTCCATGAGTCAACAGAAGTCACAGCTGAACTGATCTGTACTGTCACTATCTTAGAGCATTATGTTAGCTGAGAGATTTTTGAACTCATTAAGCAGCAGCTAAAGAAACGACTGATATAGAAACAACAGGAAGCTAATGAAAGGAATGTTCAGGAGTTTTCAGCCTTCAGGTTTGTGTAGTTTCTCATTATTATTATTGTTTTCTTACATTACTGCTCTTCAGCTTGAAGTCATCCTCGATTTCATCAGCACTGTCATCGTCAGACACTTCCCCTTCCTCTGCGTCGGCGGACAGATAGGAAGGAAGTCGTTTTCCCTGGAAGGAAAGAAGCATCAGATGGAGAGAGAAGGAAGGAGGTGAGGAGTCTCATCTGAACCAACTGTTCCTTCAGAAGGAAGTTCATTATTTTTACTAAGAAATGTCAAATACCACAAACAGGAAGTTTCATTTTGATTTGATTTTTTTACTTTTATTATTAGGGCCGTTATTCCAGCCTTTCCTGCAGTTCTTTCAGGACTAAACAGTCTGGAGGTGGGAGTTGTTTGCGTCTAACTGTCAGTCAAGCAATTAACTTCAAAAGGATGAGGCTAAAGTCCTGGGCTGAACTCCAGATTCTAGAACCTCCTGATCCTCATGACCAGGGATTTTCTCTTAACACTAATGTGATGTAGACCCGATCCAAAGACACCATGGAGTGTTCTGCAGTGGTTCCCACAGCGGTATTTATAGATACAGTGAGAGCTATTACTGCAATGCTCTCTGCCTCCCCCCCTCTTCCTCCCTTCCTCCCACGGTAGCTCGCTCCTTCAGCAGAGTAGAAACCCAGTAGTGAGTCATTCTGAAGGTGTGATTGGGCGTCCACACTCTGAGCTGCTGCTGCTGCTTCATCTTATCACTTCCTTCACTGACAACAACATCAGCAGGCTTCACTCTAACCACCGACTCCTCCTCCAACGTCTCCAGCTGAGTGTCAGAGTATGAACCCATTGGAGCAGGATGTCTGTGCTGCATCTGCTCCGTGGCTCCACACAGGTGAAGGTCAAAGACAGGTGGAGGAGGAGGGGTGTGGAGGAGAGCTGTTAGACATTTTATTGTAGATCAATGCAGCTTTCTGCTCAGAGCCAGGGCTGGTGTGGAGACAGAGCTCCAGCCTATCGTCTCTCAGAACAGTTTCTACACATGATAGAAAATTAATCAACTCATCTGTTGTTGTCTCACAGTCTCAGTGGATTTCCATGAGCTGGTGGTGTTTTTACTCTGAGGTCAGAACACCGACTGTGGATATTGATCACATGTGGAGCTTCAATTTTCTCCTCCAAGAAAATCAAATCAGCTCACCCAGTCTTTACTCCCTTCTCTCCCCTGTCTCCCCCTTCAGTCCCTCTGTGACCAGGTTCTTACTTTGATGAGGATCTTCCCCTGCAGGGCTTGAGGACTGGGTAAAGTCCTGGCGTCTCTGCTCAGGATCTCTCCTACGTCTAGTTTGTCAGCGAAGATTTCTTTGAGGTACTGAGCGATTTTCTTCTGCTGCTGGATGCTGCAGTGGTTCTCAATGGACAGAATCACCGGGAACCTGCAGAGAGGATGGTGAAAGTACCAGAAACAAGGTTTGAAACTAGTACCGCTGACTAGAAAGTACCAGGAACTGTGCTGTGCTTCTACTGCAGAAACCTTCCCAGTTTCAGATACAACATGTGCTTTTATCACAGGAACTTGGGCAGCGGGAACTCAACATCAAGAAAACTGAACAGGATCCAGGACTTGGACTGGAGGATGAACTGAAAGTACTCGGCCCCAAAACAGCTCCTGACTTAAAGGTATAGCGATCAGAGAATTTAGAAGCTAAGGGGGTGGAGCTTACAGCACACTGCTTCCTGATTGGTGGGGGAACTTGCTTTGATGGACTTTTTTGAAAGAAAGTGTTCACTGTGTGTGTGTGAGAGAGTGTGCCTGGTTATTAAAGGTTACAGTATGTTACAGCAGCAGCTCAAATCTCAGGTTTGTCAGATTGACAGCTCTGCCTCAGGGGAAACCAGACACACACTCACTGGCAACGTTAATGTTGTACACTCTCTCTCGCTCTCTCTCACTCTCTTTCACACACACACACACACACACAAATGCATCCGCACAATAATGTCCTCTGCCAAAGACAAAAGCAGGAGCTGAAGCGGCCACAGTTCATTCTGACACAAAATGAATGAATTCAGTCAACTGTGTAATGTGTGTGTGTGTGTGTGTGTGGAAAGGGTTAAAGCAGAGATCACAGTGAAGAAGAGATAAAACAGCAGCCGAATGTATTCATCAGTTCTTATTGTCATATAATTACACCTTAGAACAGCCCTGACGTTCAGTTGCTACAGTCAGTCAGACTACAGTCGGCCAATTATATTATATTATATTATATTATATTATATTATATTATATTATATTATATTATATTATATTATATTATATTATATTATATACCTAAATGGCTAATGATGGTGAAAAAACTATTTACCACATGGGCCAAAAGAAACAGTAACAGCCTGACATTGTGGTCATAAAACAAGCTTATTTACCCACTGATCTACAGTCAGTCACTGTAAATGAAAAACTTCATTTTGTCAAAAAATGAACAAAAGAATAATCCTGTTTGTAAAGTAAAGTTTGTTCGGCAGTGAGTGTGAGTGTGCTTTAGATACAGTTCCAGCAGAAAAAACCAACCAAATTCTGCCAGACTCCTCTTTTTGTAAATATGATTTACTTCCAGTCCTGTTAGTGTTCAGTCATAAATAAAGTAGAAAAGATTTAATAGGAGAACATGTGTGGACGTTCCATGTGTCGGAAATGGCAGTTATTAGTGCTAGAGTGCGCCAACGTAGCAGCAGGAGGCTGCATCATTCACGGTTTTGTTTTGGTATTTGGACTCAGCAGAGACAAACACTGTCTCCTCAGGGAGCAAAGGGAACTCTGGGAAACAGATGGCTTGGTAATAGCTGCTAATTGCTGCCAGGAATTTACTGACTAACAGTGACAAAACACTGAAAGTGACTGTGTGGCTTCCTAAGACTTGAGGTCCCTGAGGTCAGAGGTCATGGACCTCCTGATTGTCTGAGGACTCACTGGTTGTTGATGAAGGCATACTTGTTGATGGTCTCAATGACAGACTTGAACGGGATCTTGGAGGTCAGGGTATATCCATGTTGGACCACAGGTTCTCCATCAGGACCATCCCAGCAGTCCACTGCAGAAGACAGAAAAACAAAATGCAGGCTGCAGGTGATGCATTAAAAAACAAACAAACAAACAAACAGGAAGTGATGTGACGTTACATTGTACTGCAGAAAAAATAAACAGGAACATTGAAGGTTTTGCATTTGACCTTTTAAATGATTCTACGGGCTTTTAGCTTCTCTGTGCATGACTGTACTGATGTAATCATCTGTTAATCATGCATCTTTTTGTTTTTTTCCATCTTTTATCTGGAGCTCACCCTCGACACATCGGCAGCCAGACTGCAGCACCCAGGCGTACATGTCGGTCTTGGAGTGCGACAACAGCTGGTCTCCAGTCAGGTAGGTGTTGTGAGACGAGGCGATGAAGTAGTTGGACAGAGGCTGGTCCATGTCCTGGTTAACCTCATGGTGCAGAGGGTTGAAAATGTCACAGGTGGGACTGCGCATGAAACTAGTGAAACCTGAGAACGTACACGTATTAATAAAACACACATTTATGACATCATCAAAGAATGGCAAGTTAGATTTGTATTGAAATTACCTTCAATTCCTAAAACTCCTCTCTGCTTGTTCTCCTCAGACTCCTCAAACTTGTCGATGATTTCTAAAACATACTCTGGAGTCACGTTGGTCATCTGTACAGAAATAAAAACATTCGTCAAATAGTTACAAAACCAGTGACGCAGAGTAGCTTATACCAAGATCTGTACCAGGGATGTCTCTGTTGCTATTATTCTGTGGTGAACATTGGCAAAGCAAAACATGATTGCGTGATTGACAGCTGAGCTGTCCAATAAGAGCTCAATTGACTGACAGTTGCATCTTTCCTAAATCTAAAGTCACAAAATTCAGCAGAACCAGAAGAACTCTCACCTTCTGCTCGTTACCCAGGAAGTTAGCCAGCTCGTCAGCCGTCAGGTGATCCTTCCTGTCACTGTACGACATCATCAGTAGGAAGAGGTCTCGACGTAGAGACATCATCTTGTAAAAGACGGAGAATTCTTCGTATGTTAGCGTACCCTGCTGGTCATCTGTGTCTGCTTCCTAAAAGGGGTAAAAAAATTATACTGAAAACTTTTATCCAGATTTGTGAAGCATTAAATAAATATTTCAGATTGAAATGTTTAATATGGTCTTGCGACCAAATATAATCACACTGTGGGCCAGATATGGCCCCCGGGCCTGAGTTTGACACATAGTTGTTTAATCCATAGCTTATTGTCCAGTGAGTTTGTACTCATCTGTAAATGTAGCAGACTGATGAAAGCTGAACAGAGAGTGTAACCTTCCACTCTGTCACCGGCCAGGATTTCTTTGAATTAAGACCAAAACTTTCTTTACTGTTAGGAGTGATTGATCCAGATAAAATCATCCAGATTAAATAATAACAAAGCTTCTAATTAATGCAATACATCATCTGAGCATGAACGCATAAATGTATGTGTGTGCAAATGTGTGTATACAGTACGTGTGTATATGTTCAATAACAAATCTACTGCTTCTTTTTCCTCTGCGTTTATATTTAAAGCCGTTAAACGACACTCGCTTTGTTTCCTCTGAATGTTTTTTCTCTCTCTTCCTTCAAGTGACACTGATGCAGAAAAAGGGTTTTAAAAATGCAGCAGTAACGTGACATCAGTGGTTTGAATAATTGAGTCATGGAGAATTTTAAATGTTCTAGATGAAGATACTTCTCTTCATTTATTTATCTCCAGATTTCAGGGTTTTATGGTGAGAAGCTCTGATGAATGAAGTCATGCTTGGTTTAGATTCTCTTTGAATCTTGTAGGTTTGTGTTCTCATCTCACGCCTCACCTGGAACATCTGACGGACTTTCCTGCGTGGAAGGTTGACATTGAGCTTGTGTAGAAGTTGGTAGATCTCCTCGATGTTCAGGAGGCCGTCTCCGTTTTTGTCAGCCTCCTCGAACGTCTGCTTCATCCACGTCTCAGACAGAGATCAGGTTAAAGAAAGTGGGAATTTCCTTCAGCACCAAGAACCATGCATGTTCTACCACAGGAACTAATACGATGATATACTATAGTCCCTAGAACTGGCCACCGGATGGGAACTGATATTATGGACTGAGGAGGAACACCATGAAATACGCAACTAAAAAACTAAACTATTTCCAAGGTTCATGCTTTTCTGCCTATTAATTATATAAACTGGTAATAAAAAATACCAAGAACCACCAGCTAATATCTGATCCCAGTAATTCCACAAATCCACAACGTTCCAAATCGGGAACTTGTAGCAGGTACCAGAAACCATGTTGATTAAATGGAATTGTTTTTACACAGCAGAGGAACTGTTTGACTGGACCGTCAGCACGGTGGTCATCAGATCCTCCTCCACTCACACTGACAGTTGACATGAAGGATATTGGTTGTGGGTTCGCTGTCGTTTGGCCAGCGAGTCCTCGTCACTGATGCCGGCCATCAGGTACTGCAGACCTGTGATCCAGGTTCTGGCCTCCTCAGCGTTGGTGGTGACCAAGTCCAGGGACTCCATGTGGTTCCCATGGTAGAGGGAGAAGCAGCAGGACGGATCTAGACTGCTGTCACCGTGACGATGGAAAATGTCCGACTGACCGCCCTCCGTCACTTTATACAGAGAGTCGATGGTGACTGTGGAGTAAAGAGAAGAGGAGGAGGAGGAGGCATTTAGAGTTAAAATAAAACACCACATTATCTAGTCTATCACTGTACATCTTTGATGCTCAGACATCGGTTCCTGTGGGTCGTGGTTCACGTGCTGAGACCATTCACTGGTGCACGTTTACTCACTTTTGGCCTTTTCACTCTTGCGTGACGGCTTCCAGCGGATGCAGGAACGATGCTCGTCCAGGTAGAAGAGTCTGACCAGACCTTTCGATCCTGCCTTCAGCTTCACCATCTGTGTGCCTGACTGCATCACACTCATGCATCGCTCCACTGCAGAAAAAAGAAGCACAGAAGTCTACAACGATGCAGACATCCAGCAACAAAAACCTGCAGCAGGACGTCTGAGGTCAGAGGAGTTCCTTCAGGACACTCAGAAAACCAGGCTCAGACTCTTGTTTGTCTCTTTCTATCTGCAGACACGGAGTCACAGAGCAGCTCTCAGTGCAGAGATTTGGATCAGAGTCCAGACCCCAACAGAGACTTTTCTGTGAGGAATCACTGAGCTGCTGTTCACTACACGTGCACGGAGCTGCTCCTGGAAACAGCTGAGGACGGAGGACAGTGATGGAGGGCTGATTCTGATTCCACTACTGGTCTCAGCCCATCTCTGGTTCAGGTTCATCAGGAAAAACAAAGAAAATCTGTTGTTGTTAAATTGTGTCTACAAATGTGTACCAGGAGCTACAGACAGTAAAGGGGACTGTTCAAGTTAGTGATGGAAGTCAACAGACTCGTATAGAATTCTGTTAAATCTTGGACCTTCAATAATGTCAGCTGAGTCTACCCATAATCCTTTGTGTTTTACATACACTGAGCCTTAAAAGGTCCATTAACTTTTACTGTAATTCCTGTAATGGCATTGAATAATCGACAGTTGTTCTTTAACCACAGAGCAGCTGATGAAGGCTGACGAAGGGAATACGTGACAAGACTCTGTGACTGTCTTCAGACTGAAACCACGGACAGAGTCTGGTGGAACGTGAGGCAGACCAGAACTGGGGATCTGGATCAGACTGGAGGACGATCAGGTTTTTACACTGACAATAAAAACTCGGTTTTCGTTTAGAGTCCTTTCTGAATAAATGTTAGAGCCATGAGGTGTAGAAATGACAACAACTCACATGATTGAACTTCACTTCATTCAGTTTAGTTTTGAGTTTTTATTTTTACCTTTTCATTATGTCTTAATTGTTGATTCACTTAATTTTAATTAGAGCTCTATAGTGTTATTTCAAAACATATTTTCATTATGATACATAGTTATTATTTGATCAATTACTTCAATAATTACTTTTGATTGAAAATTAAATAACTTGAATAATTTACAACCAGTTAATTTCACCCATCATGGTCTGCTTCACTGTGTCGACCGTGATCAACCTGAGGCTTTAGTTTCATCTGAACTTTAATCAGACTCCGACACGGGACAGACAATGCTGCTTACATTATTACTGTAGGGACACACACACATACACACACACACACACACACACACACAGAGAGAAATCCCCCTCAGTTCTGGGAATTATCCCTCTCATCCATAAACATGAGCTTCTGCTGCTTCACCTGAGCTAAAAATAGAATCAGACAAATGCTCAATATGCACAAATTGTGTCCACATCCAAAGATCTGCTCAGTGAGCGATAACACCAGAGATCAACTGATCAGACTGTTTTTAGATTTAAACAAGACTTCACACAGATGCCCATCATTATTCCTGACGTTAATATTCCACAACAACCACTGCGGACAATTATTTCAGAGTAACCGTGTTTATTTATCTGTGTCCTTCTGTTTTCATTAATCTTCACTGACAAAATTAAAAAAGAAAATTTAGATATTATTATAAATTTTTTTTTAGTCTTTAATCCATTCTTTTCAGCTCAGACATTTTCAGCGTCTTGTTTCTTCACTGGTGGCGTTAACTCTGCAGCTCTTTATGATCAGTTCTGTTGTTACTATTTAGAACCAAATATTTGTGTGTGGTTGTTGACCTCATGGTTAAATTAGACTCTAGTGCAGTACTGCTGCACTGGAATGGGGGAAATCCCTTCTGTCAGTCTGTGTGTGCACATTTCTGGGCCAACCAGTGCTGATGTGAGGATAAAAACCATGATGTAACTCAGTCTACATGGCCAGAAGTAACCCGAGTGTGTGTGTGTGTGTGTGTGTGTTAGTTACACTAAATGTCAACACAACAGCACATCTGTCCATAATAATCTAAATCCTGTATAAACCACTCACTCTTCCACACAAGTGTCCATAGAAAAAAACAACAACGTTGATTTATGTTCACAGCTGTTAACCCACTGCTGCCTTCATCTGTAAATTCACAAATATTTTTTCATAATATTTAATATTTTTTTCATTTAATAGTTATAATTAATTTAAAAATTGAAACAAAGTGAGGCAGCAGAGGACCAGCACCTCCTGTGTCTCTGTGTCACTGATTCTCTCTGTGGATCACTGATGTTATATGGAGGTGAACAGCTATGTTAAAAATTAAAAATATAGAACTAGAACACATACAGTATACGATAGATCAAATATATTTCTAGAAATGTCTGGAGACTGGTGGAAAAGGCTGAAATAAAAAAGACGAGTGGAGGAGATGATGATGCTACAGGCTGGATCCAGCTGTAACATCAAAGCTGGTGAAACACAGGGCTGCTGCACGTGCATAAGCACATGCATGATGGTGTGTGTGTGTGTGTGTGTGTGTGTGTGTATGCCAATGCCTGTTCAGTGTAGCTGATTGTTCTCAGAGGACCAGTGTGAGCTGATGGTGATACTGGATTTGTAGAAATGGAACAGAAAAACAAAGTGTCTCTTTTCGGATGCCTAACAGGAGTGTACAGTAGAGGGCACTGTTGGCTGTTGGCTGTCACTGCTTTTTCACTTGAAGTTTTTCAGTTATATTATTTTCCGTGTAGGAAATATGTTGTTGATGTAGACCTTCTTGATGGTGTGACTGAGACGGACCAGGGTCCTAAATTCTGCTTCGTAACATAAGTGTGTATTCCCAGACAGTGTTGGTTTGGATGCAGTAAAAACCTCATCTCCTCACATGGGCAGTGGTGGTCCACCAGCTGCCAAGTTACCACTGAGGTGCTCTGAGCATGGCACCGTCCCCACACACTGCTCCCACTGTTCACTTTGGTGATAGGTTAAAAGCAGAGGCTCAATTTTGTTGTATCCCCGTGTTACAATGACAACAAAGACTATAATTATAATACCAGGTACTTCAGGACCAGATACCATATGCTGTAGAACTAATAACCCTGAACTAGCTGCCAGTGTGGGTCCAGGAGGCTGGAACCCCCTGTGTAGTTAAAGTTAGACCTAAAACCTCCCTTTTGGCTAAATCCTCTTTTTAGGTCTGGCTCAGGTAATCTTGGTTATTTTAGTTCTGCTGCTATAGGCCTAGACCGCTGGGAGAACTCTGGGATGTACTGAGCTCTCTCTCTCTGTCTCTCTACCACTCTCTGAAGAAACACACACACATTAATTAGTGTCATTAAAATAACACAACCACAGACACTGCTGACATTCTTATTATTCATAATTAATTAATTCTAACCCGTCTTATTACTACTGTTAAAGGTGTTCCTACACTGATTCTGTCCAAGTGTACGCTCTCCTTTTTCCTACAGCTTCCTCCCCCATAGTTCCTCCCCACTCTCTGCTGAAGCACACAGCTACTTCTCTTAGTCTGGATCTGAATCTAGAGAGTTTTCGTTTTAATTTCAGTATAATACTGACTATAAATATACATTAGTGTATTTGGGAGGATCATTTCAATAAAACAACTCCAAAGATGTTTACAGATATGAACAAATCCAACGTCTGTTAATCTCAATCTATCAACCGCTGCAGGTGCAGCAACACCCAGAAGGACCTGAGCAGGTCTGGAGATGATGATGATGATGATGATGATGATGATGATTATGTTTTACTTTCCTTCTTTTATCAAAGGAGCAGAAGATAATGTTCCTGCAGCAGAGTCAACATCAGCCTCATTTATCTGCAGTTAAATCCTTATGTAAATGCTAATGATGCTGCCTCAGGGGAGAGTGGAAAAGATGGAAAACATAGTGTGAAGAACTGATTCTCCCTGGACCACATCAAAGGTTTGGATTTAAAAAAAATTAATCATTAACAAAACCAGAACAGATGAAAATGTGAAAGACAGCTAAATGTTAGCCATGCTAAAAATAAGAAGGAAATGGACGTACTGGAGTTGAAGCAAAGGGAGAGAAAGGAGAGAGTGAGGGAGAGGAGATAAGGATGGTGGATGAAGAGGAGAGAAAGAGGAGATCAATCAGTGAGGAGAGAGGGAGGAAAGAAGGGAGAAAAGAACACAAGGGTGTAAAAAATATTCAATTCATGTCAAGGAGTAGGAAAAAGGAGGGGAGTGTGGAAGGAAAGGATATACTGTAGGACAAGGACTAATATAAATGTAATCTGAAAAAAAAATACAAAACTTAAAACGGGGTAGAAGAAAGATAAGAGGAGAAGGAAGAAAAAGAGGAAATAAGGAAACACTATGAATTATAAAAAAGAAAAGTTGGGGAATGAAAAGGGAATGAAAAAAGAGAGAGGGAGACCAGGAGGGAAGGATGAGAGGAAGAGACAGAAATGTGTATGAAGTAATACACCAGGCGGAGGAAGTGTTCAGACTCAGAACTGGGAGGAGAAACAGAGAAGGACAGAGGAAAGAAGATAAAGGAGACATCTCCTGAGGTGAAGGAGGTGAGGATGTTTTCAGAGAAATAAACGGAGGTTCTGCATCATCATCATCATCAGTCTGGAGCAGACACAGGTGTGGAAAGACATTAACTTCATATGAAGATAAAGCACCAGCACCTGACTACACCATCTTCATCACCTGATGCCATCATCTTCATCATCTGTCTCTGCAGGAGCTGCTCTGAAAACTCTATTTAAACCACTGACACCTGATCCCTAATATCATCAAGTATCACCATGCAGTACCACGACACATTTATCTGGTCCACAATCTCTCAGGAAATATCCATTCATCAGAGGCACCACCAGCTGCACCTCCTGCAGGAGGACATCTTGCCGTCTTCAGAAGCAGCCCAGAGACGTGATCTCTGCACCGTGACCTGATTCTGCCTCCACACCTCCTCACAGATGGTTCTGTCTGAGGCACCTCCCCAGGGAGGTGTCCAGGAGGTGACCTGAGCAGATGTTCCAGCCACCTCTGGTGGAAGGTCTTGGACATCACAGGACCTCAGTCCTCATCTCAGCTGCTCACAATTGACTTGGTTCCTGAGGTGTTCCTGAGGGACATTCCCTGAGACAACAGCGATGTCTCAGCTTCCTCTGTCCTGTCCTCAGGTCAAACGTTATATCTCTTCAGTCTTGTTGACATGTCATTGACTAGAGTGGACTAAAACCTGATCAACTCAGTGACTACTTCATTCAGAACCAGCTGTTGATCACAGACCAGAGGTTGAACACAGTTTCTTTCCAGACCTGTGAGTACGTGAAGAATTCACACTCTGTTCTCAAACTAAAAACTAAAAAAAATACACAGATTTATTTTGCTGCTGCTGCTGCTGCTCATCCACACCCCTGCAGTATTTGTCTACATTTGTCTCAGCTACAACAGGCTGCTGTTGAGTCAGTGGTTCACATCAGTCTCTACTGCAGATTCATTAAAGTCTGTCTGTGTAAGAGATTGTGAAGTAAACACACACACACACACACACACACACACACACACACAGAGACCCCCTTCTGGATGGACTCACCCTTCTCCAGGCTGAGGTTTCTACAAACTTCCAGTTGTGCCATCAGAAGTCTTGGTGTCACTCTGTCCCTCCATCAGTTGTCACCTCAGACATTCTGCTCTGTTTAGTTGATCTCCCTGTTTTTCTTGTTTTTGTCCTTTTATCTCCTGCGGTCCAGCAGATTTAACATCTCTGCAGCGTGTGAGAAACACACACCATTCTGTTTCTTCAGCCTGAAGAGGACCAACGTCCTCCTGCTGATAATCCACTCACTTCATCTGCTCCGAGCTGAAGCTTCCCCCTGATCATCACATGAATCCAGACTGCCTTATAGCAGCAGCAGCAGCAGCAGCAGCACTGAGTCTGATTTCTCTCTCTCTTTCGCTTTTTACCTCAGTGTCTCTCATTCACCATAGCAGAGAATTTCTCTCCCTCTCTTTTTCCCATTCCCTCTCTCCCCCTTGCTCTGTTCTCACCCCCTCTCCCTGTTCCTCCCACTCCCCCTCTTCTTTTACATTCACAGTAATAGTCTCTCTTCCTTCCCCATCTCCTATTTCATTTTCCTGTCTGTTCTCTCTCTCACTACATCACCCTTGCCTCCCTCTGTTTCTGTCTCTCCATTTTTCCATGCTCCCATCCTTCTATTTTCTCCTTTTCTTCCTCACCTCCTCGTCTCAGTCCATCTCTCTTCTTTTTCTTCTCTCTGTACCATTTTACTCACCTGTCTCCCTAATCTTTCTCACCCCCTCTCCCTCATTTCCTCCCTATTTTGTCTCTTAGTTTCTTACACTTAGCCCCCATTTATTCCCATCCTTCCCCCTCACTCCTTACTCTCCCACACATTCATTCTATTCCCCTCTCTCTTCTCTATTTCTGACAATCTTTCTCCCCCTTCATCACACATTCTCTCTCTACTCCCCGTTTTCTCTTTCCCCTTTATTCTTTTACTTTCATCTCTGCTCCCCTTATTATTTTTTCTCTCTCTCTTCTGTCCCATTCTTTTCTCTCCTCTATCATTAGATTTTCCTTCTTCCTCTTTTGCCCTCCCCACTTATCCCCTCCTCTCTCTCTGTCTCTCTCTCTTTCTGAGGCTTTTAACCCTTGACTCCATGTTTGTCCTCATTTTACATGAGAACAAAGTGTGTGTGTAAAAAATCTCCAGGTCATGTGGACTCCCCTCCCCCCCTCTCCCTCCCCTCTCACCCTGAATATTGCTCTCTCTGTCTCTCTCTCTGTCTCTCTTGACGGCATGAACTCTTTGTCACAGAAGGATAAGCTGATTTGTCTGCTGAGTGAGACAGAGTAAGTGAGTGAGAGAGAGAGCAGAGACCGAGGGACTTCTTTTTTTTTACCTCGCAGCGGCAGATGTTTGAATCTCAGATCTGAACTCAACTTCTGTCGCAGCTGTTAGATTTTTCTCTCTAGCCACTGAAAGAAAATTCAACTGATTTTTTATATTCAGTTGATCAACTTTGACCTCTGACCTTTCAATCCTGTGAGCCACATCATGAGTTCATGACCAGACTCATGACTTCACCACAGTCAGTTCTGTTCATTGTTTTTCAGAGATAATTATGGACAATGTGAGAGGTTGAAAAATCGATTAGTGCTGTCTGTGGGAGCAGACTGTCAATCAAAACTTTGTGTGTGTGTGTGTATGTGTGTGTGTCCATCTTTCTTTGTACTTGTGAACCTCTCTCTGAATGCTTTTTGTCAACATCTCAGTCTACCACAGCAAACCTCTGTGATTTTAGTTCAGACCAAAGTCCACAGAGAAAATCAGTGATTTTAGCTCACAGGAACACAGCATCTGTTGGTCCACTGCTGCCTCCTGTGGTCAGATTGAGGTAAATGAGAACAAAGGTCTCTCAGTAAAGTCACAAGATCACACATTTTAAACCTAGTGATTTGAACAATTCGAAATGTACATCCCAGTCTCTCGCTTTTGGACCAGAACCCCCCCAACACGTCGAAATGCAGCAGCTGTTAATGTTTCTCTCTGATTCCAGTCATTCATTGTTTTGTTTGTTATTTATATGATGGTTATGAGTGGCACTTTGGCCCAGAGGCAATGTCTCTGTCATTGGTGTGTAACCCCAGGGTTCACCTCCTGGGCAAGTTCGAATCTCAGTTAGGGCGGTTGGTACCTTCCAGTGGACTCACCACCTGCAGGAAGGTTCAGGGGGGTTGGTACGGTGCAGTGTGATTTGGGTGGAGACTGCTGCCCCCACGACCCGGTAACGGATAAGCGGATGAAAATGGATGGATGGATGGATGATGGTTATGCTAATCACTTTTCTATTGGAGTCAGATTCCCTCTGCTGTTCAAAGGCTGGTACTGCACCTATCGGAGTATGTGTGTGTGAATGATTTCCTACCATGAAAGCTGCTGTTGTCTGTGAGAAAGTGCCGTCGATACTGCGGCTCAGCTTTTCTGCTCAACATCCAGGAACTCATGGTGAGAAGTGAGGACCTGGTTTGACCTGCAGGAAAAAAAAATACTTTTTTTATTTGAATTTGAAACATTGTTAAAGGAGCAGAGACTCATTCGTGTCAACTTTCTTTTATTTAGGAGACACTGTTTTGTTTTTTTAAATAAAAAGTTTAACAATGGAAACATTGGATTACAGGATTTGAAGGTTGGATGAAATTAAGATAATTATAACACCAAAATTAATATAAATAACAGTGAAGAAAAAAGGATTTGACAAAATTGTAACTAAAACCAAGGCTATATTATAATTGTTATATAATAATAATAATAATCATCATCATCATCATCATCATCATAGGCTCCGCAAAATTCTTCTAAAAATTATAGACTTTTTATGAAATACTTTCTAAGTTTAGCATAATATGTAAAATATTCACAAATAGTCAAAACAGTAACAGATAACATTGACATGACATTAACTCATGTCAAGAAAGTGTTGGAAGAAGAAACTCACAGCTGTTTGTTTTCATCAACCGTTAAATCTAGGTGTCTTCCCTCGTTCATCTTTATTTCAAAGCTATTCCCAGTTTCCCAGTCATGTTTCCCTCCTGATAATACTCCTGTCTCTGCAGCTTCTCACTGCTGTGTCCTCACCTGCTGCTGTTCATCTGCGCTGATTTACACACACACACACACGGCTCCAGTCTTTTAAACAAGGTCACAGGAAAGAACTTTCACTCCATAGATACTTGACCCTTGAACTCTGGAGAGCTGGAGTCAGCCCAGTTGAGGTCAGTGGGCACCAGACAGAGAGTGTGTGTGAGGAAGAGAGACTCCATAAAGTACTATTCTGGCAGGGACCGCAACCTTTTTCCAACTTCTTTCACATTGCCTCAGACGTGAAAATAAGTTGGAAAACCTTTGCTTCATTAGCGTGTTACATTGATTTACATTGATTGTGTAAGAGGAGCTGATATTGGTGAAGTTAAAGCTGGAGCAGGAGATTTTATTGGACTTTTTTCCATATTTTGCTATGACAGGTGGCGCTGTAACTTTCTTTTGGAACAAATCTTTGAGTCTGACTCATCTCAGTCCCTCAAACGGCCAGCTATGTTTCCAGGATGTGACCTTTGACCTTCTTAGGACACAGAGATCAGCCCGTGTCAGCATTGGCTTACAGAGGTGCACGATGGGAGCTAAGGCCACATGGGTGAGTAGACAGTAAATTTAACTACTTTGTGTGTCCAAGCGTCAGTCTGAGGGAATCAAACGACTGTGGGAGGGTGCAGCTGTTTGTTACATGATGACAGGTGAAGACAGAACAGTCAGTTCTGTTAGTCTGGTTCATTAATGAAGAGTAAAGAGATGAAGGTGGACCTTTCCAGAATATCTAGAACACCTCATGAGGAGCAACCAGCCTAGATTAAAGATGTCAATGCTCGGTTAACTGAGCAGCCACATTAGTCTTTGTCATCTGTGTCTCCACATTTAACCTTTAACCCCAAACATCACAACCATCTAATTTTATAAAACACTGGCTGGACAAATCAGTCCTTCTCTCTGTGTCTACTTTTGGAGTTCTTTATGTTTCATGTTGTTCAGTGGTCAAACAGTTCCTCCTCTGTTCTGCTTTTGTCTTTCAAAAATTCATGAAGGATCACAAAGATTCAAGTTTCCACTGCTGAAAACACACACCGGACAACTGACACACAACCCTCAACACAACACACCAAGAGGGTCACTTTACAGCCCCGTACATTCCTCCACATGGATACACACCAGGGTTAGTGGAGCAGGGAGGAAAATAATACAGCGTGACTGTCTGAAGGTTGTCACAGAAGAAGAAGAAACAAAACAACAAACTCAAAGTTAACCTAATGTAAACAAGATTAGACAAAGAAAGACAAACAGGTTTGAAAGATTAAACATTAACATTACATTTAACCTTAGAGGAGGAAGAATTAGCTAAGAAAAACTACCAAAATACTGCAAAACAACAAAAGTTTAAAACATTTCAGAAAAACAGCCACTGTTAGTGGAGAAGCTAAATTAGCTCAGCGTTAACTAGAGACCAAAACAGCTAGTTAAAGTTAGCTAACTATCTGTGATTAAATAAAACTAATTTAAAAGTATCTAAAATGTAGCAAAATAACTAAAAGTTTGTATCTAAACAGCCAAACAACAGCCAAGAGGAGGACTGACAGCCAAGAAGGTTTCTTATGATTACAAACATACCTAACAGTTGTTCAAGAGAGCAGAATAACTTAAATTAGCCCAGAAACAACAACGAGCTAAATGTAGAGCTAAATCTGTAGCCTCACATTAGCCTGTGAGTCCTTCAAACATTTGATCTATTGTCCTGAAAAAAGAAAGAAAATGTTTTAACGGTAGCAAAAACGTATGGAAGCAGTGGCCATGTTTTCACAGGAACAAACGTTACGTTCAACACAGTTGCCCCCTGCTGGTTAAACTGATTTCTTCTGTGCTTCATCTCTATTTCTAGAAGAGAAGCCTGTTTTTCATTTCTCATTAATGACCTCTTTTTGAGTGACCCCAGTTTTATGTTTAATCCCTTTGTTTCACACGCACACACACACACACACACACACACACACACACCAATCAAATCAAAGAAATCCCCCAGGACTGCTGTGTTGGGGGAGAACCTGCTCTTTCTGTGAGTGGAATAAAAGCCTTTGTTACTACTGCTGTTACCGCTGCTGCTGCTGCTGCTGCAAACCTCTGATCTTTAAACAGACACTTTGATTGATTTATTCTTTTTCTAATTGAGAGAACAACTTCTGTGGAGAGCAGTGAGCTGTTGGTTAAAACAAAGAAAGAAACCAAGTGGGACTTCAGGGACTTGTCAGGGAACATTCAGGGATTCTCTCAGACCCTGGCAGTCTTGATCCTGGTACACTCTGGTCTTGGGCTTGTCTTGGTGTCATTACACTTTAGTCGGTGTTCTAAAAATCCAGCTCCTGGTCATAATCCCTAAAATGCTTGGACCATGAGAGTCTAGATTTTCTTCTGGTCTCTCAGTACGCCCAAGTCTGGACAATTGTCTTGGTCCGTGTCCGTAAATGCCATGCTATTCTTTCAGACTCGTACTCTACTGTGGTGTTGGACCAGGACTTGCCATGGTCACATGAAACATGAATGTCTTGGTCTGGATGGGAACTAACCCCTGACTTATCCGGGTCCTAAAAGTCCTAAACTCAATGATGCTGGTTTTGTCCCCAAGAGAGCGAATTATTGACATGTTGTTCCTTTAATCAGACGCATGAAATATACTTTATTTCAAGTATATTTCATTGTATAATTTAATTGTCATTTATTAATGTGATTCTTAAATATAGGTAAAATCATTTTAATGACTAACATTGCAGCAGTTCATGGTCAAACATGTGCTGAGCAAATTAAAATGATCCTGTATTCTGGTCCTGGTCTTCTGGAGTTCTGAGACTTTTGTTGACACTGAGATTACAAACGTTTAAACCTGGTCTTCGTCTGGCACTGGTCTAGAACAAGTGTCTATAAGAGATTGGTTATATTATTGTCAATTCAGAATCAGTTAAAAAGTGTTTTGAACACGAGTGTAAGCAGTTCACTGAAACCACTGGAGGTTCTTTCTTGGATTTTTGAAGTGACTCACCTCTGGTTCTCCCTCTGGTTCTGCTTGTCCAGGCTCTGCAGGTGGAACCACTTCGTCTTCACAGATCAAATCTCTAACTGTGACCAGAACCTGAGATTCCCACAAACATTCCCATGACGTGAAGGTTTCCTTTCCTTTACAAATAAATAGGATTAAAGACTTTTGTAGAAAGTTCCAGAGCAGAACTGTGGGCTACAGCCAACAGCTTCCCTGCTGTACAGAAGAAAGCAGCTCTACATCAGTCTCTCACAGTCTTTTCAAATCAACTGCTGCTGGGGAGACAGGAGGGACCAGGAAGAACTGGACTGGAGTCCAGATTCAGGAGTGGACTCTGCTGATCTCTTAAGACTGATCCAGGTCCTGTCTTTAAAAGCATTAAGTTGATCACAAACGTTAGATGAACTAAAGTGTCAGAACTAAAAAATGATAATTTAACCAGAATTACAAACACATAATTGCACAATATTAAAATATTTTAATGTTGGATGTATAATGTTTTTTAAATGCTCCAAATGTCAACATGAACTTATTCATTAAAACAACACTTTTACATTTACATAAGAAGAGAGTTATAAAGAAAATATCCACAAAAACTATTCAGTGTTCACATGAAATGGAGAAAAAAAAGCTTGACACCAAAAAAAGAAACTGACAGAAAACAGAGAGTGTACATGTTGTTAAACATTAGCAGAAACACACAGCAGAGAGTTGACTAAAGGTTAGCCTAGAACATAAGCAACTTTAGCTCAATTCTCAGCTGGCCACTGACTGGACGATTACTGTGAACCAATAGGAAGAGAGTGTGGCTGTATTTAATAAGAAGAGTTGACATTACTGGATGTTATCATTCAATTCATTTGAATAGTTTCCTCTGTGATTGAGGATCTGAGCCACGCTTTCACTTCTACCCCGGTTGTGCCCCTCCCATGGTGGACTTGCCCCTCCCATGGTGGACTTGCCCCACCCACTTCTCTTCTTAAACTGAGTCTGAAACAAGCAGCAGGATGAAGAAGCAGCAGTCTGACCAATCAGCAGCGGCTTCAGTGACATTTACACAACAATGGAGCCAAGCTCATTCATCAGTCCTGATCCAAATGACCCACAAACCCCCACATCAGTCTTCACCCACATTTATCCTCCACAAAACTCCCCTAACTGCCCAACTACACCCTCCACCTCCTCTCTGTGACTCCTCAGCCCCTTCCCCTTGTTTCTGTCCTAGTTTCCTTTAGACTTAACCATCACTGAGTTCGTCCTCATAGAGAGCAGGGATGTATACTTACCTACACTTAAAAATATTCATCTTCAGTATGAGTGAGTAAAGTATTTCAGTGTTTACTTTCAGTCAAATGAAAAAAAAGTCAAGTCCTCTTGAACATCCTCCTGATGAGTCGGAGTCCTGGACTCTCCCATAACACTGTGGACACTCGGTCCCACGTGCTGCGCCGTTTCGTTGTCCACAGGCCACGCCCTCTTTTCTCTGCACTGACCTCAGCTCTGTGTAGACGTTTATGTAAACGCCACAGGAATCTGGACTGGGTCAGGACTGAGGGGCCTGAAGGGACCGGAGCGGTCCGAGCCAGACCCAGGCTAAGGACCTGCTCATTCAGACTGCAGTTCCACATGAGCACCTGCTGGAAGACATATGGAATTACATCTGACACATTAATAACTTTTACCTGTATGTATTTTCTTTCCTGTGTTCTAGGTTTTTTTTTAAAGAAAAAAAATAAAATAAAATAAGATTTTTGTATTTTTTAAATCTCTCACCTTGTTCTGGGACACAAGGCAGTGCAGGACGTGGTCCTCTCTGCTGATCAGTTTAAACCAGACTATCTGATTAGGACTCAGGTTCTCCAGCAGCCATGTTCTCCCTTCTGAAGTTAAATCCACTCCTGCCAGATGCACCAGCAGAGCAGATGTGTCTGAGCGTGAGACAAGAACAACAAAAAAGAACAATCTTTGACAGTGACTTTTAAACTGTAGAAGTTATACTGTACAGCAATTGATATTTTAGTGGCATCTTCTTGAGCAACCTTGTATGCATGTTTGAATGTGGCTCCACCCACTCTTACAGGTTATGTTTTGACACCGCTTTACGTGTAAAGCCAGAGCAAGAGTAAAATATATTGGCTTAATTCACCTTCTTTATGTGTTTTTATGTCCATGCTATTTTTCTCAGTCAACAATTCAGGTCTTTACCTTGGGGTTTATGGAATAATGGCGAGAGGACTGGCAGATAAATAGGAACATGTTCCACTTCTAGTCCTTTCTCTGTGACAGCACAAACTTTTCCTCGTAAGCTGACATTGCGCTCTATAAACCGAGCTGGAATCTCAGACGCAGCCTGGAATTTAGTGAGCTACAACATTTGGAGACAGCAATGTGTTAAAAATTAAAAACAATTTAATCTAAAACATCACACATGTAATCAATACCATTTCCACTTTTGTCTAAATTTGAAAAGAAATAAAGCTTACTAGTGTTTAAGAAACAGGAAGACAAATGTATTTATCCTACGGTGTTGGATTCTGCTGAGCCATTTAAACTAAAACAAACATCTCACCAGTCTGATGCTTCGGGAGATCAGCAGAACTCCGGCAATGGCCAGACCCGTACTGATGTTCTGACGTAGAGAGGGTAAAGATGATGATCTTGTTAGCAAATACGTTATAAGAATGTAATACTTTGTATACATGTTGCACGTTAACATTTTTTTAATAACTTTTGGCTTTTTTATGGGCTGTTTTTTGTGACCTTTGTTTAACATGAACCAATTGTTTAGCAAATATTTTGAATAATAAAATACATAAATAAAATGAATGAATTTTAAAACTCTTGAGTGTGATATTTATTTCACATCAACAAAGGTATTTATACAGTATGTTTTCTTTCATTCATTTCTATCGTGCCTGATTTAAAATAATGTATGCTTACGTTTGCTATTTGCTATTTTAATGTTTTGTGAAATTAATCTGAGAGTATGCTAATGTCTACATGTAGACTAATGTACAGTACTTACGTAGATAGTAATCAGTTTGCGTAACTGATTACTATCTACTGACTACTTTTAAACGCTGTTTTTATTAAGTATATTAAAAAGTTAGCAAAGAATAATGACGCGTATTTAATGACAGTTGTACCGCTTTTTTCAGCTGAATCTCATCTATTTCTTGCTTGCTCTCAGTCGCTTTATGTTCCCGATGCTTACCCGTAGCAAGGTCAAGTGATCATCGGCCAGCTGTGACAGTACAGTCACCATGTTCTGTCGGTGCTTCACTGCCCCTCTCTCTGATCCGTCTCCATCGCTCTGCGGCATGTTGTTTACATTCGCTGTCCCCGCCCACTACAGACAAACTGAGCAGAAAGAGGGCGGGGTCATTAGTGCCAGGGCTCATGAGCGCAGCGCCACATAATGGCATGGTGGACAAACGACACGAAGAACGCACCAAGGTAGCAAGTGTTATTCGGCGCTGATTTGACCTTTTTATGTTGATGATTTGATCATTTTTGTCTTTTTTTTTTTCATTTTTGAATAATTTTCTACTACATTCAACCTACTATTGTTATGCTTGGATGCCACAAATGGTTGTTTTTTTCTATCCACTAACGAGGCAAACGAAACCTAGTCAATGGAACGTATACATTTAATTTAAACGCTCCCAAAATATTTAATATAATATGTCTTTAAATCTGTCACTAATATTAATATACATACATTTTGTGAAGCCATCCAAAACGTGATTGAAAACACAAAGTGAAACAAAACAAAATGTAACTGCTAGAATAAAGCAACATTGAATATAACAAAAACATAGCCGTCTCGACTGTACAGTTAAAAAAGACACGATAAAACAAGATTTTTCTTACATCTAAATTAACGCTTTATTGAATCTTTTTAATTGTGCAGTCTATTCTGTTCTCGTGTTGCAGCCATAATTCAATTTCCCCTGTGTGGTATCAATGAAGTTGAATCCAATCTAATCTCAGGACTTAATATCAGTCAAGAATACACTAAAACATGCATTAAAGTAACAAATAAATAAATACCAAGATAAATAGGTAGATAGATAGATGCCGTTAGTGGCTATGTGACGTCAGCAGCAGGATCGACAGCTTTCATCTTGTCACAAAGCTGTGACGTAAAGGCATCGACACAAAGCCACCAATAGGAGGCGAAAGAGAAGCGAAGTTGTCCTGCTGGCCGCCATTAAACAATTCAATCCCTGAAGTGAAAGAATGGAATGATCTGGATCTGGACTTCAATCTGGATCCGGATGTCCCCAGGCCCCAAGACCATGAGCAGTCTCGCAATCGCTTGAATCGGTTTCCCTGGGACTTGGAACTTTCTAATGTATTTCGCGCAGCAGTGGCTGTGGTACGAATTGTTTGATAACGGTGGAGCTAACTATGCTAACTGGCTAATAAGAGTTCCTTCACATCACTCACTAGCTAACGGTAGCATTAGCACAGACTCGTCGTTAAAGGCTTTACTTTGTACTGTTTCCCTTTTACACTGTTTAAAGTTTTTATCTTTATTGTTAAATCAACTTTTTAATTCTTAAATTTGAACTATAGTGTCATGTGAGAACGGAACCGTTTGACGGTTGAAGTCATGTTAGCAGTAGGCTAGCTCTGGGCATCGTCAAACAATACATTTCTAATGGGAGTTAGCGGCTAACTGCTAACTGGGCGCTTCAAAGACTGTGATTTCCAAAACAAATCAAAAAACACAAACTGCAGTGAATAGGGGCTCACTGAGAGTGACCGCTGTAATTGCTCATTCTGATCCTCGGACCATGGACCTGAGAGCTTCGGCACCGCATTGACACAGGATGAGTTCGTGCTTTGTAGCAAACGGGGCCAGTTTGGAGGACTGCCACTCCAACCTCTTCTGTCTGGTGAGTTGGATCCGCACACAACACCCAAGGCTTTTATTGATGGATTATTTTATGAATAAACGTCTTTCTAAGGTCAAAACTAATTTCTGTCTGGCCAGGCAACACTTCACCAATGCTAATGCTGTTTTTGCTGCTGCTGCTGCTGTTATTGCTACTGCTGTTGCTAACGTCAGTTGCAGCTTTGACTGAAGGCATCAGGGCCTGTACTCTACACATTCCCCACAGAATACCTTCCAAAACATTAACATTAATTATTTTTTTCGCAGAATTTAACTGCTGGTCATCTCCCGTGCATATATGTTCGCTATGTGCATAATGTACGTTCACACCCTCGCGAGTTTTCGTGATCCAGGTTACTTTCCTAAGCCTAACATTTGGTGTATGTTCCAGCAGTTAGCTGTAGTCCCGCTACAGCACAAGGACACGTTAATGTTACTACCTCTATCGTAGTGTGCATGATACACCTTTGTAACATGCACGTTTGTGATCTAGTTCACTTTCATAACAGTGACGTGCTCTTATATCACAGGGGTCAGATGGTCTTCTAGTCCAGCATTCTGTACCAAAATCTCTACTAAAAGTATACATTTGCATAAATGGGAAATACAAATTATGTATTTTGTTTGAGTGAAGTCCACAGACCTGTAAGCAAATGTTTATTTCTCCTCAGTTCATACACCTATGTACATCAGGTGCAGCACTCTGCTGCCATCTTGAAATATTGCATTAGGTTACAGTAGGCAAACAAAATATTTTCTTGGAGTCGGGTTGTCAACCTCCACAGTCAGCCTATCGCAAGATGCTGTCAAATCCTACACAGCATACCTTCAAATATGATAAGACTTGTGTCTGTGCTTTCGTTTTCTGCTTTATTAGATATGTGACTTGCAAACACTTCCTGTCAGGAATGGTTTGCATCTAAACAGTTTATCTGTTTAACTGTTTATCAAGTTCTGGCAAAAGTCAGGGTGGTGTGTTTTGTTATCAGAGGACAAAAGCAAAAACAATCCAAAATCTCATGTAGCCATTTAAATAACCTAAAAGATAATAGACATTAAAGTGTACTCTGGTTCTGTGATTGATAGCTAAAAGTACAACAGAATTTAAGAATCTGACCTCAAAGTCAGTGTGGTTTGAACCAAATATGAACTTTGGAAGTTTTTATTAATATAGGGTCAATAATTATGTCACAAAGACTTATTTTGTTTTCAAATACAGCAGTGAATTTTGTCACTGTGTGAAAGTGGAACACATTCATATCAAAGAAGGTATTTAATTCATATCATTCCCAGTGTTTGTATCTACATAGTATAGAAATACTTGATGTTGTTTGAGTTTAAGATTGAACTTTATTGATCCTGCGCTGGGGAAATTGAATTTTTTAAAGCTCATTGTCACAATCAGAACATTGTTGCAGCATTTGTTTCTATTTTCTACATGTCAAATGAAGCTGCTTCTTTTTTATTTTTATCTTTTTTCCTCTTCAGGCTGATTTGACTGGAATCAAGTGGAGGCGTTTTGTATGGCAGGGCCCCACCTCCTCACCCATCCTGTTCCCTGTGACGGAGGAGGATCCAATACTCTGCAGTTTCAGCCGCTGTTTGGCGGCCGATGTGCTGAGTGTGTGGAGGAGACACCACACCCCGGGCCGCAGGGAACTCTGGCTTTTCTGGTGGGGGGACGACCCAAGCTTTGCTGAACTTATCCATCACGATCTATCCAGTGAGTGGTTACATAAAGTTGTACAACTGTGCAACTCCTAGTGTTGTAAATCTTGACGTTAATTAATATAATTAATATATCCATATATTTTAGCCCTTTAAACTTGTTAAGGTGTGTAATTCCTAATACAATATTCACACTTTTATTTTGTGAAGACAATACTTCCAATATTTAAAATGCATGCAGATTTGAGGTGGTCTTGGCACCACTGGTTTTAGGTAAAGCCTAGATTCTGTAGATGTAGGTGTAAAAATCTATTGTGCCTCACAGTATTTTCTTCTGTGAGGCTGAAGGCACATTTCAACAGGTAGTACAGGCATCACCAGTCAGTGGGGGTTAGGGTTAGGGTTAGGGTTTAAGACCTGTACACAAAAGCTTGTGAAAGAGTTTTGATGTTTAAGGAAATTTTGCCTATTTAGGTGAGGAGGATGGCGAGTGGGAGAGCGGCCTGTCGTACGAGTGTCGAACACTCCTGTTCAAAGCCATCCACAACCTTCTGGAGCGATGCCTCATGAACCGCGGCTTTGTCCGCATCGGCAGGTGGTTTGTGAAACCATACCAGAAGGATGAGAAGAGCATTAACAAGAGGTACCCCAGACCCCCACACATCAGTCTGCTATAAACCCATTTGACACGTTCTCTAAGTTTTGTAGGAAAAAGAGAGGACTTTGTTTTTACAGGCAAAGCCCAGGCCGAAAACATGTCATTGTTTTAAGTCTGCAGCCTACACAGTCCATAAAAAAAGATAAAACTACAGTGTCTAGATGGTGTTGGTCTGTCAGTTTTGGATTCTGCAGAAAAGCCTTGAATGTCTGGATTAAATGTCATAGTAGTAGCTGGATTATTTGTTTTCACATCTCAGAAAGTAGAGAAGATTTTGAGGCAGTGGGATTATGATAGATCATCCCTGCACCTCTACTGTGGCTGAGCTGCGGTCAGAATTCTCTTGTTGTCTACATGACACAACCCTGAATGAGGAAAGCTATGGAATACAAAGTGTATTGGCTCTGAGGATTCCCTGACATCCCTGATAACTTGGTTTGAGTCACTATGTTTAAACATTTTTTTGCTGACGGCATACTTGTGTCAGATACAGCCTTTTCTGACAGTTATGTGTGTTTTACCAGTTAGTGTTAGAATAAAAAAAATGAGGATCTAGTAAAATGGGTATGTTTTCTGTGAAAACACCCTGGTGTGTCTATCTGTGTTTGTGCGAGGCAGAAACAGTGAGTCCATCTGTCTCCTTGTCCTCTTAACTGGCAGGGCAATCCCCAGAAAACGCTGACATTGTTCTTTGAGTTACAGCAACCGTATCAATGAGCCCTGTTTCAGTACATTAAAAGTCGGCTCTTCCTGGAGAAGCTAAAAAATATAGATGATATGTTGTGGGGTTGTCGGTTATGTTCCCCCTGGGTTTTTGTTTTGTGTCATTAATTTTCTCCTGCATATGAAACTGGGGCATGAAAACAAATTGATAGTTGATTGTACTGTCAAGTATTGATCTTTATCACAATATATACATTACCACAGACTTGTTTCAGGCAAGTGTCAAAGATACAGCTTTAAAAATATAAAAGTATAGACAGTGAAAATGTTGACCCTGAAAATTAGGATAAAACCGCCGCTATATTCAGTTTTACTGGATTGCTGATCTATACAGTAAATGTCCAGATAGCAAAATCTTTATCACAGTTGTTCTATATGAAGGTTTTCAGTGTGGTATGTTGACTGACAGCCAAATGTACTCCTGAGCAGATTCTTTATTTGTGTCTGAAACCCCACAGGGTTAATGTTGTGAACTGATCCTCTGATTTCTGTTTTTAACATTGACTGCACAGCGAGCATCTGTCGTGTTCCTTCAACTTCTTTGTACACGGCGACAGCAATGTGTGCACCAGTGTGGAGATCGCTCAACACCAGCCTTTGCAGTGGCTGAATAAGGAGCACCTCAGCGTTGCCCAACAGAGCTCCAGCCCCCTGCAAGGTGCAACCCTACCCCACACCACCCAGCCTCTGCTGATGTGTGACATCTTAAAAACAATTAGGGTTCATTCTGACTCTTTTCTGTCCTCCAGTCATTCTCAGCCCATATGGTTTAAACGGGACCCTCACCGGTCAGGCTTTCAAGATGTCAGACCACCCCACTCAGAAGCTCATTGAGGAGTGGAGGCAGTTCTATCCCATCAGCCCCAGTTCCAAGGAAATCCAGGAAGATAAGATGGAGGACACGGATTGGGAGGACGACTCCCTTGCAGCTGTGGAGGTTCTTGTTGGTGAGGCATTTGTAGTGTTGTATGTGTTTAGTATCATACACACAGACCCACTGCACATTGAGAACATTTTTGATGGCTACATATATATGTTAAATACAGTATAGTTTTTTTTTTTTTACTGTCCTTATTTTGTGTATGTGCTTGTGTTTGCAGCTGGCGTCAGGATGGTGTATCCCTCCTGCCTGGTGCTCCTCCCTCTGTCAGACCTCCCTGCTGTGGTCCCTCAGGGCTCGCTCAACACCTCAGGAAGTCTGTGTGTGGCTCAACAGGGCCAGGCAGTACACAGAGACCCTGCCATGTCCTCTGTCACTCTGACTCCTCCAACATCTCCAGAGGAGGCTCAGACTGGTGAGATCTGGACCTGGACCTCCCTTCTCATGGTTGTGTCTTATTGCCTAGTTGTGCTGACTGTTTACATTATTGTTGTTGTTTCTTCACAGACTATCAGCCTGCCTACAAGTGGCTCAAGTTGTCATCGGCCTCTGATGGCTACAGCAACAACAACATGCTCCATGGTGGAAAAATCCCTCGAAGGCTGGTCAGCCACATGGTGGAGTCGGTGTGGCAGGAGTACAACATCAATCGCACAGATAACAAGTGCGTGTACCATCATCAAGACGTAGTCAGTGACAGATCTTGCTCTCACTAAGACCAGTGACATGATTTTGTTTGTTTATTCTAGGAGGAAGTTTACATCCTTGACAAATGGAAACTGTGAGGAGGGGCCTGATAAAACCGGACAGTGGGGTTTTGTAGAATCGTCTCATAGACCCCATTGCAACTGCTTAAGGTGCCGAAAACAGTTAGCTGACATCAGTTCTATACTTGTTGAACTGAACAGCATAGTTCAGTTTATTTCACATGTAGTTTATTTCAAATTTTACCATAGTAAAGATCCTAATTTTTATTGGTCTTAAGCAGCTCTTAAAAGTAATTAAATTTGTTGATCATACCTACCACAAGAGAAATGCACCAACTTCATGGTAAACTATCAAAAGCACACAGGGCCTGATACTTACCTTAGGTCTTTCTATTAAGTTCTGCAGAAGAAAATACACATAATTCAGGGAACTTCTCAGAGTTACTTTCTGCTATGATAATGGTCCATCATCAGTGATGTTAGGAGATATGTCCTGTAACTCCAGTGTGTTTGTGTTCTTGCAGACATAAGAATCAGAAGCAGCGATCCAGCAGCACCTCAGCCCACCTGCCAGCATCAGGTCCAGCTCCTCTTCTTGCTCCCAAACACAAGATGGGAGACAAGCTGGAGAAGGTGGAGAAGCAGCAGAAGAGGCCACAGACACCTTTTCACCACCGCAACTCTGTGTCTGAGGATCAGTCCTTAGAGCCACAGACCCAGAGGCTTTGTCTCAGGCCTCAGGATGAGGCCACCTACCCCAGCCTACACCATGTGGACGCAGCAGCCTCCTCTAAAGCTCCTGTTCTGCATTCCCACGGTCCTCCCTCAGACCTCACAGGCTCCCCACCGCCTCCTCCTCTCAGCCCCCATCCCTGTGATCAGAGTGAAGGTGACGGGACCTCGTGTGGAGCAAAAAACTCATCCACGCCTGTTCACCAGACTTTCTATCCCCCCTCAGTGGAACCCTGCCTACTGCCACAGAAGAGTTTGTCTGAGGAGCCTCCGTTGGAGAACCTGCTCCTTCCCCTTCCTTCAGCCTACAGTGAAAGTCATGAACCTACTGTCTTTATAGGATCAGCCATAAATCCCAATGAAGATTCTTCCCACAATCCCTGGAAGTACTTCAAGCTGCCCAGGAAGAAAGCCACCAACTTTATGACCCCTCAGCTGCCGGTAGATAGATTTCGAGAAGATTGTGGAGGAAATTTAGGATCGGAAAGTGTAGTATCGGTGACTGAGTAAGCTGATAAAATACTTCCCTCATCTTCACAAACACCAGTAGAAAATTCCATTCAGTCTTTAGCCTAATGTGTTGACTCTTCACTCACTCTTCTCTTCTCCCAGAGTCATGTCTGGCTCCTCACACCAGTTGAAAGTGTCACAGGAACTGGTGAAGACCTACACCCAACGAAAGAGCAGCCATTTGGCCCCTCCCACAGCGGACGAAGACCACAGTGATGAGCCAGATCCTTACGCTTTCGAAGAGGGTGACGACGAATTCACCTTCACTGACAGGAAAGAAAAGTCTGGAGCTGACAGAGAAGGAAACAGGAAACACAAGGTCTGGCTTCATTCTGTTCAGTATTTCATAACTGAAAATCCATAATAGTGTTAGTCTTGTTAAAGGTCAAGAGTGATATATGGTAGACATCACGGTCAAATAGATACTAAAGATGACCATTCAATCTGAGTGAGCTCTGTTAAACATGAAACGTCAATAAATCTGTGCTGTCTATTATGAACAACATTTGTGTGAAGTTATCCAACCATTTTTCTGCATCAATGAATTAATTCTTGTAACTTGTAAATTTTCCTTGTCTGACTCAGGTGGAAGAAGGAACTGGAAATTCAGCAGATGGTAAAAATGTTGAATATACCTGATATCTTCTAATTTGTCAAATGTGAAAATGCAGTTCTTCCTCTAACGCTGTCGTCTCTGATTTGTCCTGTGTTACAGATGGTCAGGGCCCATCTGGTACAAAATCTTTGGCCTCCACTAGTCTCATCCACGAGAACGACCTGGCCGTGTCCTTCAGTGACCTAGACAAAATATTTAACTCCGACGAAGATGAGTTGACGGTAAATGTCACGGCCTGAAGAGAGTGTAAAAATCCAGATTCTAGGAATTGAAGGTAAAATAATGTTTCCCTCTGTTCACAGCCTGGATCTAAAAGAACTGGAGCTGCAGCTGAGGACAAGTTTGGCTGTAAAGAAGCCAAAGCCACCACTCTGGACTCTCTGTCTTCCATAAGTAAGAAGAATAGAAAAACACAGCACTGTTTGTTCTTGATAGCACATATGATGCAGAGACAGAAGTTACAGTGTGGTATTTATTTGCAGGCTCAGTCGATCTGCACCAGATGTTTCCAACACCTCCATCCTTAGAGCAGCAAGGATACTCCCCCATGAACTCCAGCAGCAAAGAGAGCCTGGAAGCAGGGGCGGGCCTGGTTCTGATGGATGGAAGCCAGCTCAACACCCACTTCAAAATGGAGGTGGAGGAGGGATTCTGTAGCCCTAAGCCTTCTGAGATCAAGGTAGGACGATCGCATCTGAAACTAAAATATAGAACCCAATACTTGACTGTCAGAAGTAATTCAAAGTTTTTTCAAGTTTCCTAAAAGTTTCCTCTCCACCTCCAGGACTTTTCTTTTGTGTACAAGCCGGACACGTGTCAGTCATTGATTGGCTGCTCCATGTATGCTCCTCTGAAGTCACTGCCCAGCCAGTGCCTGCTGCCCATCAAACTGCCAGACAACTGCTCCTACACGCCCAGCTGGACCCTGGGTAAAATGGACCTGATGGCACCAGTGACAAACGTCAACCTCCTGACCAAAGACAGGTGAGATTCTGTGACACTCCCACAGTCCAGAACATTATACCTGCACTGCAAATGGATAAAAAACCCTACCAGAGACACCAATGACTTGGAACAGTTATTTTTTTATGGAATATAAACAACTGCTGTGTAAAAGAGTTAGGCAGTTATAGGCTGTTTTAAAAATGTCACCAATAAAAGTGTTTGTGTGTCTGTGTTACAGTAATGTTCCCAGTGTGGAACCAGACTACAGTCAGAGCTACACCCCTCAGACACACACACCCTTTATATCCAGCAGTGCTCCACCCAGTAACAGTGGTGCAGGAATCTTGCCATCTCCAGCCACGCCACGATTCTCCGTACCTACGCCTCGCACACCGCGTACACCACGGACTCCCCGTGGACCGTCTAGTGTCCAGGGCTCCCTCAAATATGACAACTCTGACCTCTACTCCCCTGCCTCCACCCCTTCCACCTGCCGGCCTCTGAGTTCAGTGGAGCCAGCCACTGTCCCTTCTATCCCTGAGGCCCACAGCCTCTTCGTCACCCTCATCCTCTCTGAGTCGGTAATGAACCTCTACAAGGACTGCAACTTTGACAGCTGCTGCGTGTGTGTCTGCAACATGAACATCCGAGGTGCTGACGTGGGTGTGTACCTCAAAGACAACGGTGAGGCCCAGTATCCCTGCACCTGCGGCTTCAGCGCAGTCACCAACCGTCGTTTCGGACAGTCCGCGGGGCTCTTCCTGGAGGATGAGCTGGACGTGGTGGGTCGAGGCTCGGATGCGAGCCGGGACACCGAGCGTTGTTTTGAGGAGCTCCGTGCTTCTATGACGAACCAGGTCAGTGGCCTGAAGGAGAAGCCTCCGGATGAGCTGATCCTGCTGCTGCAGGACCAGTGCACCAACCCCTTTGCCCCAATGGCAGGAGTGGAGTACCCAAAAGCCAGTGCCACCCACAGTTCATTCTTGAGAGTTGGGGAGAGAGACTGTTACAACGACTGCTACATGGCCCTGGAGCACGGCCGGCAGTTCATGGACAACATGTCGGGAGGAAAAGTGGATGAAGCGCTGGTGAAGAGCACCTGTCTCCATCAGTGGCCAAAATGTAAATGTACGTCTTCATCTAACGTGCCCTTGCTACTTTATCTGTTATTTTCTCCTGACCTAAAAATGAAAGACTTCGTTTTTTTTTTTTTTTTTTTTTCCCCCCCCAAAAAAAAAAAACCTTTTTTTTTTTTTTTTTTTTTTCCCCCCCCAAAAAAAAAAAACCTTTTTTTTTTTTTTTTTTTTTTCCCCCGGCCTAAAAAAGAAAAATTTTTTTTTTTTTTTTTTTTTTTATTCTTCCAGCTGCAGATATGAGCAAGCTTTTCTCTCAGGACGTCCTGCGTGTCCTGCTGTCCCTCCAGCCTGTCCTGCAGGACACCATCCAGAAGAAGAGGAGTGTCCGCTCCTGGGGTGTTCAGGGACCACTCACCTGGCAGCAGTTCCACAAGATGGCCGGCAGGGGGTCATATGGTGTGTGTCAGATCTATCTTTTAACCTACTATCTGACTTCCAAAAATTAGGATTATTTCAAGACAATTCTTGAAGTCTGGATGTTCAACTCAAGACCAGTTTTTGCTACCTTTATAATTAAAGCAATGCGTTGTCCCTGGTCCCTGCCTACTTGTTTTAGTTCCTGCAGTGGGAATTAGCGATAATGTTTCTTGTTCTAGGCACAGATTCTGTAATTGTATCCAATACTATTTATGATGAAATGAAAGACATTTCCTGGCTGCCTGTCCCTGGTTTAGAATCATTCATTTGTGTTCAAACTAATAATCTAGTTTTTTCCCTTAGGCACTGATGAGTCTCCTGAACCTCTGCCCATTCCCACCTTCTTGGTGGGCTACGAGTACGACTTTGTGGTTCTGTCTCCATTTGGTCTGCCTTACTGGGAGAAACTTCTTTTGGATCCTTTTGGCTCCCAGAGAGACATTGGTTACGTCGTCATCTGCCCAGAAAATGAGGCTCTGCTCCACGGGGCCAAGATCTTCTTTAAAGATCTGTGTGCTATGTATGAGGTGGGGACCTGGCAGGACCTTAACTCTCTTGGTCTGATAGCCACCAGAACCAATTTTTAAGCCTTTGTTTTTCTGTTTTTTCACAGGCATGCCAGCTGGGACAACACAGACCCATCTGTAAAAACCACCCTGATGGCATTCTTAAGGTCGGTACCACAGAGGGAAGGAACCTGCCAGAGCAGCCCCTCAGTGACTGGTTGATCAAGGTCTCGTCCAGAGAGGGAAACAATGATTCCATTAATAAGCTCAAACTCTTTGCCCAAGTGTGTCGCTACGACCTAGGTACGAAGCACCCTGATGTCATGCCTACAGATACATAGTCGTAGCAGGAAGATGATTGATGTTTTGTTTTTGTTTTCTTTTTAGCTCCATACCTGTCAGAGCAGATTCTAGACAGCTCACTCTTGTCCCAGCGCTGCTCCTCCTCTCAGACCTTCAGTTCCTCAGGACTTTCCAACGCTAGCTCTGCAGTGCCCCCTCAGCTTGGCAGTGGTGGGGCTGCTCCTTCATCGTCCTCAGGCTCACAGACCACCTCAGCCAAGCCTGGCTCCTACTCTCCCTTTGGATCTACAGTTTTGCAGGGTGGTGCCTCACATAATGGACTGCAGCCCCCACAGCAGGGGGTAGCAGGGCTTTCAGAGAATGGAGCATCGACCAATCAAACACAAGGTTCCAGTGAGACACCAGAGAGGTGGGTTCTTATATCTTCAGACATGTGGCTCCTTCACTCTTGGAATAATGGAGTACCTAAAGACTCTCAAACAGTAAACATGCATATAGTTCCAGTGGGAAATTTACAAGTGTCTCTGGTGCGGTACCTTGCTTTAATTTCCTGCTGTTGTGTAATTATGGAATCTACAGTCCTCTTACTGTGGAAAACCTGTAGACTAATGGATATACCGTTCTAGGTTTTGTTTTTTATAGGTCAGTTGTTTATTAAAATGTGTTTTGTTTTTTTTTTCTCCCTCCCTAGCACAATGGAACGGGACAAAGTGGGCAAGCCTACAGACGGAGAATCCCATGCTGTGTCCTACCCTCCAGCCATTGTGGTCTACATTGTGGACCCCTTCAGCTACATGGACGGGGACAGAGAAGTCCACTCCAGCACCTTCACTCTGGGTCTTCTGCGCTGCTACATGGATATGCTACACTTCTTACCTGCCCACATCAGACATGCAGTCTCTGTGCAGGTATGGCTATAGCAGCAACTTTATAGGCAGCACTCTTGTCTCCTTGAGCTTTTTCTGTCTTTGTGTTTACCTGTATTTCCACTGAGCCACAAAGACTGTTAGAGCTGTTACACCATTTTGCTTAGCAAAAATGCTAAATCTGAAAAATGACTGAAGTTTAGCTTTTATTTACACAAGATAAAAGTTTGACCGTGTCATTAAAATTTACAGAGTCAACTAAAAGTTATTGTACATACGATTTCTTAAATTAAGAGAATATGACTCATTAGTTTAAATGACACTCAGTCAGACTGTTGTGAAAATTGGGTTAAAACAGCTGAGCAGAAAGAGAGATTTTTGACAGAACTGTTTTTTTTTTTATTTCTCTTCTATCAGATTGTTCCCTGTCAGTACCTGCTGCAGCCGGTGCACAGTGGTGAGCGTCATCTCTATGGTCAACACCTCAAATCTCTGGCCTTTTCCGTCTTCACCCAATGTCGGCGACCTCTGCCAAACTCTACCAACTTCAAGACTCTGACAGGCTTTGGCCCTGGGCTGGCCCTCGACACCGCTCTAAAGAATCCTGAGGTATGACCGGGTTTATCTCTACCGACTTCTAATATATATACCACCTCTATAATTATTTCCACTGTTGTTGTCATAAAAAATGGTTCAAAAGAGTTGGCTGTAAATCATGTTTGACACTGTTGTCTCGTGCAGAGGCCCGAGTGTCTTCGTCTCTACACGCCACCCTTCATCTTGGCTCCGGTCAAGGACAAGCAGACGGAGCTTGGAGAGACGTTTGGCGAAGCATCACAGAAATACAACGTTCTGTTCGTGGGTTACTGCCTGTCACATGACCAGCGCTGGCTCCTAGCCTCGTGTACAGACCAGCACGGAGAACTGCTGGAGACCTGCATCATTAGCATCGATGTTCCCAACAGGTGAGTGTAGTCCAGGAAGAGGGCGCTAGTGGTGGTGAGGGAGGAGCAGTAGTAAGAAATAGCATTGCAGTCCAATCATAATGATCACTCTCCTATACATGTGTTTGGTTTGGTTTTGTTAATAATAAACACAGTTCATTTAAGAAACATGAAATGTATTTGTTTGTCTCAGAGCTCGCAGGAAAAAGGGTTCAGCCAGACGACTGGGTCTGCAGAAGCTCTGGGAGTGGTGTCTTAGCCTGGTGCAGGTGACATCACTGCCTTGGAGGGTCGTCATTGGACGGCTAGGAAGGATGGGCCACGGAGAGCTGAGAGGTAACCAGGCAACCACATAAAAAAAATTAAACCTGTATTCACTTCCCTTTCATTAAGGTAGTGCCTATGTAATGCCTCAAGGTGGCAGCAGTTGTACAGGCAAATGCTAGCCTGGAGCATTGTGCTGTTCTTACTCTACTAAAAATACCAAATCGCCCCAGATATTAAAGTAATGACAAATGTTTTATACTCCCAAAGGGGGTGTGTGAGCTGCTGTTAGGCGGTGCATGCATTTGAATTACTCACGTTGTTTGGTCTGATATCTCACTGTAAGTGAAACAGTAAACTAGGTTCTAGGTCATTAAACCAAAATCCTTAGAGAAAATCAGTCATTTTAGCCCACAGATGTCTGTAGAGGAAAAATATACACGAAAAGATACACTTTAAATAAAAGTGACAAATATCTCACTAATGTCGTTGTCATTCCAAATTTGGGAAAAGGTCAGCCTATCAAAATGTCTTCAAAATCTCTGATACAGAACTCTTTTGAGTTTGAATTCATGATGCATCATTACATCCCTTGCTTTTTGGTCATATGTGGTGCAAATATAGGCATTTTCTGGAGGAACAGATGCAGTCCCTTCTCCCTGGTTCTTTTTCAGACTGGAGCATTTTGCTGAGCAGACGGAATCTTCAGTCCCTCAGCAAACGCCTGAAGGAAACATGTCGGATGTGTGGAATATCCGCTGCTGACACTCCCAGCATCCTCAGTGCTTGTCTGGTTGCCATGGAACCACAGGGGTCTTTTGTGATCCTTCCAGGTAAAAACAAAACAAAAAAAGTGAAAAAAAAGAGAAAACCAGAGGTTTGAGGTCAAAGATACGCCAGTTTTAAAGTTCTAACCAGGTTTGTCTCACCTCTGCAGACTCTGTGTCGACTGGGTCAGTCTTTGGTCGCAGCACCACGTTGAACATGCAGACGTCTCAGCTCAGTACACCTCAGGACACGTCTTGCACCCATATCCTGGTGTTTCCCACCTCAGCCATGGTGCAGGTCAACACCAACACCACCGAGCCCATCGACATCAACTTTAATCCTATAAACCCTGGTACTGTCTCTCTCTCTCTTCTCTGTCTGTCTCACTCTCCCAGCAAACATTTTTCAAAATTTCACAAAGTAATCTGTTGTCTATTTTTTTTTTCTGTCCGATGATTAGATGGATCTGATGGGATGGGAATCTTTGACCTGTTTGACAACGACATGGTGGATCCAGACCTCATCAACATCCTGCCTAACTCCCCTACCACCTCCCCTGTTCACTCCCCAGGCTCCCACTATCATCAGGGGGGAGATGGAATCAAGGTCAGTCACAATTTCTATTTTAACTGTCTGTTGTGTTAAAAAAAAATAAAAAAAGAATAATCCCAAGAAACAAGAAATGTTTACAAAAACATAATGTATATATTCTTTTTTTTTTTTTTTGTCTTAAAGGGCCAGAGCACAGACCGAATGGAGTCCCATGAGGAGGCTCTAAATATCCTTCAGCAGCCCATGGCTCTAGGTTACTTTGTGTCCACGGCCAAAGCAGGTCCTCTGCCGGACTGGTTCTGGTCCGCTTGTCCTCAGGCCCAAAACCAGTGTCCTCTCTTCCTCAAGGTAAAGAAACCTAAACAGTTGAATCAGTGTGTGATGTCAGAACAAATCCTCCTGTTGGACTCCAGTAACACGGTGTGCCTTTTTTTATGTAATCCAGGCATCTCTACACCTGCACGTGTCCTCTGTCCAATCAGATGAGCTGCTGCACAGTAAACACTCCCACCCTCTGGACTCGAACCACACTTCAGATGTTCTCAGGTACTCAACCTCAACACCTCTGAACCCATAAATGTGGAACCAGAACCATGCAAGAGTAGAATTTAGAGTCTGTGTTCTCTCACGTTCTTCTGAAGTATCTCTGTGTCAGTGCAGGGAAAGGTGTTGAAATCAAACAAGATCAAATGTTGTTTGTGTTCTCTATAGCATTACAGCGCTATCTCCTGGCTGACTTGTTGTAATGCTGTTGGGTTTTTTTTGCCTGTTTGTTGTTCTGGTTAGATTTGTTCTGGAACAATACAACGCCCTCTCCTGGCTGACCTGTGACCCTGCCACACAGGACAGGCGCTCGTGTCTCCCCGTGCACTTTGTGGTTCTGACCCAGATGTACAACTTCATCATGAACGTTCTCTAACACCTGGTGGTTGCTCTGCCCCTATTCTGCCTCCAGCACCACCTTTTCTGTCTCCATCCAATCAGATGCCAAGAATCAATTTCAGAGGTTTGGGAAGTGAGGAGAGGTCAGGAGGACGTTTGCTGAAGGAGAATTAAGTGTTTTTAAAGAGCGTAGATGAAAATCTAGCAGATTTTATGATGAGGAAAAAATGCCTGCATATAATTATTTATTCAAAATTTTTAAATGTGGATTTTTTTAAAGATCTTTTTATAAATAACAGAAAATTCCCGGAAGCATTTTAAAGAGCGACTGCCGGGACACAAATGTGTTTACTCCTGACATTTAGAATCTTATTTTTTCTAAAAAATAAAAACCACTCAGTGTTTTTGCAGTTGGAAAATGTGGACAGTGAACAAAAAACTGGACAAGAGTTTGTGTTGACAGGAAAAACTGAAGATGAATTAAAGGTACAAATGTTGTCAGATGATCTATTTTATATAAACAGATTTAGGTAAGTTTGGGTATGTGTGTGTGTGTGAGAGCGAGTGTGTGTATATTGTGTACATATAATTGTGTGCCGCTACTGAAGGTGTAGCTTCTGTTTTAGAATTAAAGTGCGTCTACAAACTTAAAAACATCTTTTGTCTTTTGTTCTTCAGTAATGTAATTAATGAATGTAGCAAAAATGACAAAGGTTTTGTACATCTCATTACTTTGTAACTTTTTGTTACTTCATTACAGTAAATCCTCGATTTATTGGTCCCGGAACCAATGGACTCTGGATTAACGGACAAAATCTGCAGAAAACACACATGCTTAACGAGCAATGTGGGTTAATGAGGCCCCACTAAACGATCGCAGCACGGCAGTGTTAGACCATCACAGCAATGCTTCAAGGTAAGTTTAGGTTCATTTAAAAAGTGGAACTTGTACAACTTTAGGTATGTCATTTATTTTAGGTTCATGTTTTTGCATTTATTTACAGTATTTTGTACTGCACTGGGTGCTTTTAGGCCACGGTCTCTTGACGGCCCACCCCACAGTAGTCCGTTAAATTGAGGTTCCACAGTACTTTCATAACTGATACTTTTTGTTGCTCTTGTAATTTTCGTTTTTGTTCATTACTTTTTATTGTGCATTTCTGATAAAGCTTGCAACTTATTTTATTGTAACATTTTGATAAAGTTTCCAAATGTTTTCAACAAATGTAAGTAACAAAACGTAACCAAGTAACAAAAAGTAATGATATAAAGTATCACAAAATGATGAAAACAATTAGGTAAAGAAAAGAAAGTAACAAAAAGTAACTTGGTAACATAGGTAATGAAGAATAACAAAATAAAGGAAATAAATATAAAAACAATTAATGAAAAGTAAGGACAATATAAAAAGTAATTTCTCCTTTAAATGTAATGTACTTTTAAGAAAAGTAGTCTGTGGGATTTACTTCATTTTGTGAAACTTCAATTAACAAATGATTTCATATATTTAATTTTACCAAAAAGTATTTTATTATCTTTTAGATTGTGGTTTAATTATTTCAATTTTGAAACTTCATGTATAAACAACCCACAAAATTGACAGTACACTTACAGCATTATTTAAAGATTTATTTCCAAAGAAAAAAAAATCAAAATTTTAATGATTATTATCTTTATATTATAAAGTATCTAAATATAGTAAATACAGGCAGCTGAGGTATATCTGTCTTTGTACAGGTGGAGATTTGAGTTAGAAGCAGAAGGATGAACTGATAAAAGATGAAAGAATTAAATCACTTTGAAACTTCACAGCCATCGTTATAAAACACCAGAAACAAATATCGAGGAAAAAAATTAATCTTCACTGCTGGACTAAAACTCAAGATAGTGAAAAAACAAGTCTCACCTCACGTTCATGAATTCAAACCCTCACTTTACGGAATTTGGTGAAACAGTAAACTAATGTAGTATTTGATATAATTTATTTTACTTTCTCTGAGCTGCTGTGAATAAACAGTTTAAATTTTTACAATAAATGAAAAAACTGATGTTTAAACCCAAAAACATTTTTTTTAATTTCTAGAGTAAAATTATAGTGGAAAAATTAAGTGTATGAATACGTGTGTGTGTGTATAAAACTGTACACAATTTTACTTTTAACATAAAGCCGTCACAAAAAGAACAGAAGCAGGATCAGCGCCATCTTTGGGCGGTGTTACACTACACCCACAAGATTACTTGTGGGTGGGGCTAAGGGCGCTGCAGCTCTTTAGTGTAAAGAACCATGTTCAGATGGGTTCTGTTCTAATGTTTTAAAAGTGGCGCTGGACTCTAAGGGAACTTGTTCCTTTAGAACAACCCATATCATGCCTTAATGGCCTGACAGCAGTTGATGTTTGATTTGATGACAATTATGTTTGCTGTTAAAAGCAAATATATGAAGTGTTACTGGGCAAAGAGTAAAAGTAAAATCAAAAAAACAAATGACTGAGATTTAATGAACATTAGTCTGTGTATGATTCATGGTTTGAGGTCACTGCTGCTTCTGTCACACTTGATGTGAAGGCTTTTATCTCTCTGACGCACACACACAAATCCAGGGAAATATCAGGATAACTCGAAATAAATCCAAATGATTTCAATCTAACCTCAAAATAAACCCTGAATCCTTTCAGGATTACCTAAAACAATCTAGAAAGATTTCAGGATTATCTTTATATACAGAGTGTTCAAAAGAAATCAAATCCAGGATTTTTTTTGAGTGTAATTTCAAAATAAATCATTTGACATTTTTGGGTAATCCTAAAAGAAGGATCCCCATAAAATAAATTGAAGAATATTGTCAGGATATTCTCAAAGTAAATCAAGAATCATTACAGGATATACTCAAAATAAATCCAGGATAATATGTTGAAAAAAAATCAAGATCAATACAGGATCATCTCTAAATTAATCCAGAATCGTCTCCAGATTACCTTAATAAAAATACAGGGTCATTTAGGATAATCTCGGATAATGTTAGGATCGCTTCTGAATAATCTTAAACTAAATCCAGGATCATTTCAGGACGATTCTTAAATAAATCTAGGGATAATCTTATAATAAAATAATAATAAATAAAACCATGAATATTTAATGATAAAATTAATCAAGGATTATTTCTGGACAATCTCAAAATGAATCAAGGATCTCTGAAAAATAAATACAGGACAATTTCAGAATCTGAAAGTAAATTCAGGTTGCTATAAGGACAATAAAAAACTAAAACAAATATCCAGGATGATGTCTGCATAATCTTTAAAAAGGCCAGACTAATATCAGGATAATGATAAAATAAATGTATGATCCTGATAAAATTATTTCAATGTAATGTCAGAGTTTTACCAAAATAAATCACTGATAGTTTAGTTTAGTATTATATCGAAATAAATCCAGATCATTTCTTATTGATAGTAAAATAATCCTGGCAATCATGACAACCTTGAAATAAGCTTAGAATAGTTTTTGTTGAAGACATAATACATTTTAGTCAGACAGAATTAGAAGATAATCTGAGGTTGATTTCAGAATGACCTGTGGACCAATAAATCCAGAATATTTCCAGGATAATCCAAAAATAAATCTAGAATCATTTAAGGATAATCTCAAAGGATATACAGCATCAGCGTCAGGCTGGGTTTGTCTTCACTGCCGTGTGCTGATGAGACCTTCCACGCTGCTGTGAAAGAGTGCTGTCCACTGTCACCATCACAGAAGAGAGGTACCGATGACGAGGGGCCAAATCCAGCACCAGGACCTTGTGCTGGACCTGGAGATGCTGCAGGGAAACAGAATGTCCTGTGCTCCATCACCACACTCGACACACCTTCTCTGGAACCATGAAGCTACTGCGGTTACAGCTGAATGCTGAGGCGAACTCTGGGAAGTTCTGAAGAGAACCTAGAACCCTGCAGACAGATGCAGACACAGGCACAGACACATTAACCCGGTTGTCATGGAGATGAGGTGAGCGGAGGAGTCCACTGTATGCTGAGGCTCACCTGAACTTCCCTGGACTGTGGAGACCGACTTTAACAGAATTCTCCGCCTGCTCCGGTCTGTGTGTTCCACACCACACCTGAGAGAAGAGACATGTTAGCTTAGCATCTGCTGCAGCCAAACAAAAAAAGGTAAGTTGGCAGTTAAATATTCGTTCATCTGTCTGTCTATCCTTCCATCATCTCCACCTGAGCGAAGTTGAGGAAGAAGAGCTGATTGTGGTTCAGTTCTATTCCAGGCAGCAGAGCTTCTTCTCCATTCTTCTTCATAAAGTTCTTGTAGGCCTGCAGAGGAGACAGCAGACCAACAGTCACTTCCTGTTTCCTGCCCTGACACAGAATAACTTTTACTACAGATGGAAAGACAGATGACTAAAGACCAGTCCAAACATAAGGTCTCTTCCACCTTAAACTGGTTTAGACCTGAGAGAGACACATACTACATTTAGTGAACCTGAAGCTGTTTTGTCCGGTGCACAGTAGAGGGCACTGTTCAGTTATTCTGCCATACACACACCCATTAAAAAAGCAGACATCCTACACATTAAAAAAACGTTTTGTTGTTGTTATTGTTTTTTTGTTTTCATAGAAAGGTGTTCACAACAGTGACCAATCAGGATGCTCCAATCCAACTCGCTCTCAACTATAGGATGTTTTATTTAAGGTTCTGTTCATTTGCAGGAGGCTCCAGGAAACTCCAGGAAATGCCTTGATATTCTAAGAGGCCTCAGGAGAGAGACTGTAGGTGACTACAAGATTCTCCAGACATCTCCTGCAGACCGGCGTTATCAGGTAGATTTTTCAGATTAAAGTTTTACTGTGGAGCTGTGTCAGGATCTTTGGGTGATTAAAAACATACATTTTTCTCACCTGATAGGCCTGTCGTATCCCTCCATTATCGGCCATGTTTTCTCCCAGTGTATTGTTGCCATTTAACTGTAGAGGACAGAACAGAAAAGAATCTTTGTTTTTATCAATACAAACAAAGTTTTATATTGTCTGACTTTTAGCTCTATATGAGATTGATGTTTAATCAATACCTTGGTGATTTTGTGACATTATTTCTTTCCATTTTTTAAATTATATTACAAATGTGAGTTAATTTGCTAACCTTTAGCCATGTCCTGTACATTCAAGATTGTGTTGTTTATAAGTTATATCCAAGTTATTTACTGAGTTATTTTTTTAAAAATATTGTTAGAATATTATAAAGTGAAGGGTATATGGCTAAAATGTTACAACATAAAATAAGACAGTAGGGATGTTTGATATTATCGACCTGATATTAGCATAATTATGTAATATCGGTAAGATCGTTATCGGTTTTTCCTCCGATAATGAAAATCCAATAACAATACATGGGTTTTGCCAAATTTGCTGGACTTTGACGTAGGGTCCTGAGACGTTTACCTCAGTTTTTGGGGCAAACGGCTGCAAATATCAGTATCGGTGTTTGGACAATATCAGCATATTGGATAACGGCAAAAAGTTAATATCGGACATCTGTATTAGACAGTATATGTGTTTTGTATCTTTAATAAAACCCCTGTGACCTACATTAACTCCATTGGCCAGTTCCCAGGTAAAGTTGCTGTATTGGTCCACGATGCACTTGGACAGTTCCAGTAACCGCTGAGCTGAGTCTGGAGTCCACCAGTCCTTCAGGTCTCCGTCTTTATCATAGTTACGTCCTGAAAAAGAGACAGAGTCACGGGCCCTGCTGCTTCAGCCACGGTTCAAACTGTTTTACAGATTATTCCCAAACCTAAGAAGACAAGGACCAAGTGTGAAAAAACGAGGGAAAATGGTACCGTTGTCATCAAACCCGTGTGTGAACTCGTGACCAATCACCATCCCGATGCCTCCGTAGTTGAGAGATTTGGGCTGACCTTTACTGAAGAATGGAGGCTGGAGGATTCCTGCAGGAAAGACTGACAACAGACACACAGAACAAACACTGTCTTCACAAAGACTGGACAAAGGTCAAGCATCCAGGGCAAAAGTGCAGTCACTGATGGTTGACAGCAGTACAAATGTTCTGTTCTGATCTTTGGTCAGTGTCTCTGGGAACAACTCCAGCAGGTGGCTGTGATGAAACCCACAAGAATCAAACCCACAGAAGAAGAAAAGAAGGCAGAAGTTACATGAAGCTACATGCTAAATGCTCATATTCTCAGTGTGGAGTGAATTAAAACTTATTCCATAAATATGACAGGACAGACTGGACTGTCATCATCAGCATGGGTGGAGACAGAAAAGGACTTGTTAGGACTGGAACACATGGACAATCTGTTCATCAGAGTCGTTGAACTCATCTTAAGGAAAGAAAGGAGGATGGATTTCGTCCTCAAATAATCAGAAGTATCGGTGAGTAAAATGAATCCTGTCTTTTTAATAATATTGTAATTGTATTATGTTATGCTATTGATCTACATTATGTTCCAGCTGTGGCTGAATTTGGCTTTGTGGGTTTGGTGCTTTAGTAACGGCAGAGTTATGGCTACATGAGTTATCTAAGAAATAACGACTTGTTACATTACATTTCTTTATATTGATGTTTTTTATAGACATAATTAAGATGTGGATTTATTCAGGCAGGATGCCACTAGGGAAGGCCTAAGCAACAAATACACATCATGCAACTAGCTAAATGCTAACACATTTCTGAATAATCAAGTAAAACTGGTTTAATTAATTTTTTTTAAATTAATTAAATTATCCAGAAACTAGTCTAGTCTCAGATCAGTGGGAGCCACTACAGCTAATAGCCTTAGCTAGCTTTTGACAGCCAACGGATAACTAGTTCAGTGAACACTTGGTATAAATGTATAAAAAATTACAGAAAAGATTGTGTCCAACTGTTTTAAATAAAATAATATTTAAAATGTACATCTCAGAAGTTACAGAATGGTTAAACAAATATTGTCAATGAGAACATGAGATTTACCAATTTGGTTTGTGCTGGCAGAGTAGAAGGCGTTGACCACAGCAGCTCCAGTCACCCACCTGGCAGACACGAAGTCAGGTTAATATTTTAAAAACAGACTTTTGTAAAAGAAAACAGACTTTTATAAAAACGAAATTTTAAAATAAACACTTTTAAAAACAGACTTTTGTAAACAAGAAAGAAAAAATGTTCATAAAGTAATTACGTATTTGAAGAAGCTGCTGGTGCTGAATTATCTAGTAGCATAGGTAGCTTAGATAGCTTGAATAGCCAAAGCAGCATTTGTAGTCACAGTAGTATGAGTAGCACATGTAGCCTAAGTAGGACAGGTATCATAGGGAACTGAAGTAGTACCAAAGTATAAATAGTACACACGCAGCGCAGAATAAGAAGCGTAAACAAACAAGTAGCCTAAAAAGACCAGTTAGCCAAAGTAGCATAAAGGGCTAATGTGAAGATGATTTCCAGTGTAAAAGAACTGATCCCAGTGAGGGATGAATGAAATTAAATCTAATCTAATATGAAAATACTCTTTTAGTAGAAAAGGAAATAATAGGTTGTGAGTTCAAATATTTAAGGTTCGAATCCAAACCTGCAGATGTTTAGACTGAATGTAAAACAAGCTTCTGTGGATCAGAGCTGGTTAAAAATAGAACCAGAGAAAAGGCTGAAGAGCCTGGGTGAGTAGGTTTGTGTGTGGGTGGGAAGTCAGTGCACAGTGTCACGTGCACACTCCTGTTTTACATCACAAATGACACAGTTAGCCGGGACTTCACTGCTTCAGAACATCAACACTGTCAAGGTCCAATACTTTCTACAGTCGTCTGCAGTCACTACTTTATTGAATGTGAATTATTGATAATGATTATATACAAAAGAGGTACATAATAATTATACTGAATTATAATGATTATATAAAATAAACAGGAGTAGTTATATTATCAAAACACTTCTTTTGCTTCACTCCTCATACCTTTGTAACTGTGTGTGTGTGTGTGTGTGTGTGTGTGAAAAATCTCTCACTCGTCTTTGTTGACCTTGACTCTGAGTTTTCGCAGGCGTTTCTTCTGAACAAACTCTAGATTCTGAAGGAAGTTTTCAAAGTGTTCATCTGCGCTGTAGTTGAGCTAGAACCAAAACACAAAACACACACACATTGAGAGATCAGCTTTGAACAGAGACCTTGTCCACGGTCCAAACAATCAGAGATCTTTTTTAATTTAGATCACAGTCAGTCTCCTACACTCACATCTTTGTACTCATTGTTCAGGTAGCTGTCGTTCATGATGTTTTCAGAGTAGCCGATCCTCTGTCGAATGGCTCTGGCCTGAATAAAAAAAACCCACAAATTAGTCAGAAAAAGTACATCAGACAGTTGGAGTGTAAGAACAAAAGCGTTTTATAATTTGATCAGCATTTTATTTTCATCTCCTGTAAAATATGTTTAGAGGGGTGTGCACCACCTACAGGTGTATTATATGAAGTTCTTTTTTCTATTTCTAGGCTAACCTTTCCTTTAGCTAACCTTTTAACAGTTCAGTTCTGTGTCTGGACTTCACAGCCCCTGACCTTTAACCTCCCTTGCCTAGTTTTGTTGGTGTTTTCTAGACCTGTAGATAAAGTCCTGGCTAACTGAAGTCAACTGTCTGGATCTTGTCATACATTTCTTTTCTTTAACAAAGCTTTGTGTTAAATACCAATGTAAAAACAATATCTTTATAGTAACTTTTAGCTCCTTCTATAGGAGCATGTTGGACTTAAGATGTTGTTCTGTATTTTTAGCCACAGTGATGATGATGAAGGATTCTGGAGTTATTTTTAACAATGTTGAGATCTTTCTGTTCAACCCTAGGCTTCAGGACTATCAGGTTGGGACTATGTTCAGTTTTAAGAATGCACAGAACCTTCTCCTCTGCTGCCTTCTTGGTCTCTTCATCCATCCAGGTAAGTTCTTGCAGATTATTGATGAACACCTCTCTGATTTCTCTGATCATCTCCTCCATCTGAAGCACAAACACAAACAATGCAAATGAAGGTAGAAATAAACTCTTTAATACACACACAGATGGAACGTTGTACAGAAGAGAATACTGACGGTGAGAGGTTGGACAGAAAAGAAGGAGAAAATCATTTTTTATTAATTTAACGGAGAGAAGGAGAGCTGGAAAAAACCTGCAGCAGGTAAGGTTTAAAAAGGAGGGGAGGGGGTCATGTTGGAGGAGGAGAAGCAGAAGAACAAGGGGGAAGAGGAGAATTTGATTATCAACGATGTGTATTATTTTCTAACTTTGATCTAGTTAGTTTTTGTTTTTAGCTTTGTCATATGCTATTGTTTGGCTAACTTTAGACATTTGTGACATCTATTGTTTTCTCTATTGATTTCATTCAGTGAATTTGTTATTTTTTCTTGAGGTTTATTATGTGGATTTGTGTTAATCCGACTTCATGACTGACTGAAGTGACTTCATTAATATTTAGTTTTAGGCTAATTCTTGGCTATTTTTTAATATAGACACTATAATGCAGTTTTTATGCCAACAGTTACTTCTTGCCTGTCATCAAGAAGCTTTTGAAGACTCGGCTCTTCAGAGAGCACCTCCTGCCCAATCACTGTCCTCCACTTCCCTTCTCCTTCTGCACTTGTCTCCTCCTCTGCTCTCTCACACCAGTTAAGTTGTCCCACTTTCCTAACTAGTGTCTCTTTCAAGAGTTCCTCTTTGTAGCTTGATTATTTATCCTCCTCTTGTAATTCCCTCTGGATAAAATCCTCTGTTACATGAATAAATGTTATTATTATTTCTTTATATTTTATATTTTAAACTTTGACAGTTTTGTTTCTTTCTTGAGAACTTTCAGCACATACAGATGCAGCAGTGGGTGAAGGCTGACTGACACCACTGTATGTTTGATGCTAAGCTAAGCTAATGCACTCAAACACAGAGAGAAGTGTGTGCTTCAGTGTAGGTGGTGTGGGCAGAAGAAGTGGAGTGAGTGTAAAAATAAACAGAAGGCTGAGCTGAAAAGTCAGAGCAGGACTCAAGTATTAGCCCCCAGGAGGAACAAACACCAATGTTCTCACAGAACATGTGTGAAGAACTCACTTTATACAGTACTGGTGATGGGATTAATTACAAACAACAGACTTCTCTGGGTCCCCTCACTGGTCCAGACCAGTTTAACTATTAGGTCGGACAATAGAAAAATGAAAAGTCAGATCCAGGAAACATCTACTGACCAGTTCTTTGCTCTTCTCAGAGAAAGCCTCCTGGACGTAGAGACGACCCACGGCGTTTTCCATCTTGGTGCTGACATACAGAGCACACTGTCTCCACACTGCAGCCTCTGACGTGGTACCGTACAGAACCTGAAGGAACAAGTACCAGGTATTTGTATGGTGTGAATGCTTGTTTGTTTGTTTGTCTGTGAAGGACTGGAGAACAATCCAGGGTGTAACGCTCCACTCTGATGACTGCTCCCCAAATCTTCCCCCATCCCCCCAGTCCCCCAAGCACCACCACCAACAAGCTAACCATGGTAGAAGATAAATGACTATATTGGGTTGAATTGAACTGAATGACATCTCAGCACCAGCGGCGTTGGTGCTCAGTACAGTCATCAGGACCAGCAGGATTCAGTTCACCTTGTGGAAGGATTTCCTCGTGTCTCTGTAGCTTCTGCTCAGACTTTCCACCACCATCATGGCAAAACGCCAAACCATGTAGTTCTGGAGATCCCTGTGAGGAGGAGGACAAGGAGGAGGCTCAGAGGAGGAGCACTGCACACAAGGAATCAGTATACTGCAGCAACAGAACAATGATCATGCTGGAACTGGAACTACAGACAGGAGCAGGAACTACAATCAGGAACAAGAGAGAAGAGCAGGAACTTAAGCAGTACTAGGAAAAACAGCAGTAACAACTATAGAATACCAGGCCCCAGAAATGACGAACAGCAGATGCAGTACCAGGAATATACACAGGTGCATCTCAACAATTTAGAGTATCATGGAAAAGTTCTTTTATCTTCAGTAATTCAACTCAAATAGTGAAACACAGTCTGATCTCCTCGGTGCTACACCACATTCTAGTACCAGACAGTACTACAGTTCCTGGCTGTGGACCTGTGTGTGGTACCTCTTGGTGTATTTGGGCAGCACCAGGCTGAGTCTCCTGTAGTAGTTGGGAGCGTAGTTGATGATGTTCTCAGAGTCAGAAACGCTGATGTTCACCGAGTCCATGATCCTGGAGGTGAAGTAGCTCCAGTTAAACACCTGTCCTCCACACACAAGGAGCAGGAGGAGGAGACACTGACGTTAGGATGAGGAGTACAGACTGGAAGAAGGAATTTATGAGGATACAGATGTGACTCTTTCACCTGTGACTCCACCTCCAGGCTGAAGTTAGCGCTCAGATCCAACAGTTTCATCTTGTTGTAGTTCAACACCGGGTTGTTCCGATCCTCCGGAGTATCAGTGGCCTGTGAATCACAGACACAGGATACTCACACATGAACTCAGGTCACACAGCTCTAGGTCTACAAGTGTCAGAGCTGCAGCCTGAGCAGAGCAAGTGAAGACAACAGTGATCGGAGGAAACAGTTAGGGAATCACAAGCACCCAGACAGAAGGAACCTCAGGGACATCTGTGGAGTAAAGTCAGGGTAGGGAAGACCAGAGACTCTTCTTCTCAGACACCAACACTTATTCATATCTCCAGACGGTGGAAGAGAAACAGAGAAAACTTACATTGGCAATGTCCTTCTCCAGGTTTATAATGCGCACCACTTCCTCTCTGATACGGCTCTCGTTGACTTCCAGACCCCGGTCAGAGCGGACCAGCTTCACCAGGTCAACCATGAACTGCTCATAGGCCTGGCATTTCTGACAAGGTCAGTATAAAAAGAATTAAACTTGTTCAGAAGAATGCCCTGGACAATCAAGTCCAGAGGTTGACAGTTCAACACAGATACAAAATCACTGTAAGACCAGTCTCCTCAGAACCTGGACCTCAGTGTGATCCAACTGGTCCAGAGAGAAAACAATGTCAAAAAAACTCTTTGGCTCTTTAAGAAGCTGAACAGCTTGAATGGGTTTGGAAAGACTGGAAAGACTTTTTGCCCTTCCTGTCTATACATTTACAATAACTGACTGGCTCACACACACACACACACACACACACACACACACTCACTCAGTGCCTATAAATAAAAAAGAGTGTGGTCCAGTCCACACATCTGGTCCTGATTGATTCACTGACCTTGATCATTCACCACACAAATAAATACCAATTAGATTTAGTGGCCGATGTCTCGGCCCCGTCCTTCCTCCAACATCTCATTTCCTCCCCCCCCCCGACCCCCCCACCCACACTGGAAAAAAAAACGGCACACACTCTTCTTGTGTTGTGCCTTGTGCACTGACCTCTGCGTGCTGTCCAGTACAGGAGTAGTAATCTCTGGACAGGAGGGCCAGAGTGTTCTGCTGGTCAAACTGAAAAAGACGAGGGACGAACAGAGAAGAAACTGTGCTGACGTCCTTTTTCAATGTCTTAATATCTAGAAACGTTTCTTTCTCTACAGAGAGCCCTGGAGGAACCTCCTCCAGCCTCAGATGTTCTTCACACATCTCCAAAGAAGCACGTTGAGGTGAGAACTCACATGAATGATGTATGAGTTGGAGTCTCTGTCATCGGTGCTGACATAAAGGTTCACCAGGAGCTGAGTTCCATATTTCTCGTTCAGCTTAGCAATGACATCTTCCAACCTCCAGGTTTGACCTACAGGGGGCGGCAGGTGGGACAAGTGAGTAAGAAGAGCAAGAAGAAGAAGAGTCGATGTCTGTGTCTGTTCTAAGAAGATACTGAACCGTAGTTGGATTCCCAGTCGTCCATAGCGATTGGCCAGTCCATCACATCCGGCAGTGTCTCCAGCAGCGGAGCTCCTCCTCTGAGCTCAACTAAACCTTAGATTAGGGTTGAAGACAAAAGTCAGACTTTCTAATCTTTAAGCATCTGAGTTTGACATTTGTTCTTTTGGGGAGTGACTTATCATGTGACTTTCCTGCAGACTCACTCTCATTGAGGCAGGACTTGTACAGAGTCTTGGCCTTTACCAGAGCAGTTGCTTCTCCCTCCACTGTTTTTTCAAGGACACCTGGAAAAATCCAAATAATACACACACACACACACACAAAACCATGAGCGTCAATGGAGTCAGACTGGGACAATGTTGGACCATCAAGTTCCGCCCACTGTGGAACAGACTGATGAAAGAAATCTTCTCAAAATAGGTCGAGTAGAAGTAACCAGACGGACACAGGAGAACAAACCCCAACAAGACCTGACCCTGCTGTGAGACCCAGTTACCATCCACACACACACACACACACACACATACACACCAAAACAGACAAAAGCAGAAAAGATTGTTCTCTTCCGTGTAGACAAACCCAGCCTTACAAAGATCTTACCTGTAATTCACACTTTGAAACCAAATATAATTCAAAAATGACCTCAGAGAATCATCAACCATCAATGTTCATAATCATTGCCACATCCAGGGATTTCCACAGCGACAGGTCACGTTGTGTTACGTTAGTCTGAGCTTAGTCTGAGGTTAGAGACCGTCCATCTATGTTTCTTGATTATCAGAGTGGAAGATGTTTTGGTTTGAAAAATGATTCTCTCCCAAACTAGCTGCAGACTCATGTGAAGAGACTTTTCAAAATAAAAGTCGTTGTAGAGCTTCTTAAAATAGTTGAAAAGGTGACTGTTCTACTGTTCCTCTGATCTACTGTTCTACTGTTCCTCTGATCTACTGTTCTACTGTTCCTCTGATCTACTGTTCTACTGTTCCTCTGATCTACTGTTCTACTGTTCCTCTGATTCCTCTGATCTACTTTCTACTGTTCCTCTGATCTACTGTTCTACTGTTCCTCTGATCTATTTTTCTACTGTTCCTCTGATCTACTGTTCTACTGTTCCTCTGATCTACTGTTCTACTGTGATAGCATGACATGTCTGTGTGATTTAAATCTGGATAAAGAAATAAGTTAGAGAATTGTTCAAAGTGCAAATTAAAACTAATGTCTTGTCATTCAGATCCTGAGGAAACTTTATTCTCACTCAACTGTTTTTACGGATGTATGGAATCTTAAACCTGACTGATCTGCTCCAGGGAGCCACTTCACAGCTTTTCACAGTGTCTGGAGAGGTTTGAGCAGTGAATGAAACAGACAGTGAAGACATTTCTATATTCAGGCCTTGAATAAATGAAGTGAAAATACTTTGGAAATGACCCTGGTCTCTGATAATGATATCTATCTCAACAGAACCTTCAGGACCTTCTAGAAGCTTCAGAGATCAAAAGACGCATCCATGCATCCATCCATCCATCCATCCATCCATCCATTCAATCTATGGTTCCATCTGAAGTCTCACTTTCTCAAACAGGTAAGGTAACCTAGCCAACTGCTCTGGAGTCAGACCCAGAAAACGATCCACACGATGGAACCATTTCAGGAAAGGCACAGGTCGTGTCTTGAGGAACCAAACATCTCCCCTGACATTGAATATGTGGATGTGAAAAAGCCCAGCTGAAGAACTTAGCTTTTGGTAAACAGTCCACTGACTAGAACCAAATCCTGAATGTTCCCTCTAAGCTGTGGTGTGTGTAGAGAAGAGAGTGTGTTAAAGATTAGACCTGATCCTCTGAAAGTCTGATGGTGGTACAGATCTGCAGTCAGACCACAAACGCGTCCTGTTCTCAAACACACGGTTCCTCACTGACTCGAGTGTTGGTTTGGTGAAAGACTCAACAGTGACCTGGATGTGACCTCACATGCCTGGCCGTGTCAGGCTCCTGGAAACACCTGGACAGCAGGACCGTTGTTGAAGAGCTCATTGAGGAAAATGTTATTGTATTGTGTTTGCATGCACGTGTTTATGACGCAGCAGATTAGTGTTGGCCTGTAAATGCTTCAGATTGTTCTAGGCTGTCGTAAAAGTTGTAAAACGCCTTAATGAGGATCTGACCTGGTTACAACATCATAAACACATGCACGCGTCTGTGTACGTGTCTGTGCATGTTTGCTTCTACTGCTGTCCAGTTGGTATTTGCTAAACATCACTGTCGTCTCAGAGACGTCGCTGCGGTCGCAGAGACATCGCTGCGGTCGCAGAGACGTCGCTGTGCTCTACTGTTAACCAAACACAGATAACATAAACAGTCGGCCGTGAATGTAGATAAGATTCAATAAAACAAAACAAACTCTAAATTATCAGTTGAACCAGATCAAAACTTTTTGGTCCAAGTTTTAGACCAAACTAAATCTGTTTGTCTAAACATCAGTGAATGATTTGTCTCCGTCTCCGTCTCTGTCTCAGGTTCACGTCAGCGGAGCTGGAAAAACGATTGTAGTTCTTTCTCATTTTTGTTGGAACCGAGCCGCTGCTCCTCAAACTCACATCATTTAACTTGGACTCAAATCTCTGATCAGATTTTTATTTGACATGTTTTTGAGGAAACACTTTAGCCCGGTGTTATGAAAGACTTCTGGAGCGGGTTTTGACAGAAGAAGGAAATTTATATATTTACCCACAGCACAGATGCTTCTCTGCTAACTTCTCTCTCCTTTAGGCTGTTTTTCTAGATCTTTGTGCCAAATCTTAAATAGTTCTGTAGTAGCTGGTCTAACTCTGAGTCATCTCCAGGTTTACTTGTTAAACGTTTTCACTGGCTGTTAAATACAATCTGCCAACTCTTAGAGGATAGTTGACAAAGAACTAAAGAGACTCTTCATACAAGGACACAATCAAATCCAGAACTGTGCCTTTACACAGCCTCTATTGAATACATTCAACAGTGAGGTGGTCTGATCTGCTGCACCTTCACTGAGGTTCTCCATAATTCTTCACTTTAACCTCCTCACATTCACACAACTGTTGTTTTTTTCTGCCTATTTCCATAAAAGGAAGCAAATATCACATAAAAATAAATCTTTTCTGTTTTAGTGCTGAACAAACATTAGACGGAGAGAGAAGATCGCTGCAGAAATGTGCTGTGTGCACGTTAAAACTGACTGATGTTTGTTTTTCCTCTTCCACTCCCCAGTGTGTGAGTTTACAAGGGGCGAGAGACAGCAAATAGCATAAAGAGAGAGAGAGAGCCGAGGAGTGTGCATTAGATATAATAGAGCAACCTTTACTGCTTTGGTTCAAATGTATTATTTTACCCATAATCCTCCAGGACTACATTTATGACTCATGCTCTGGTTTTCATAATCACCATGTTTTTACTCACTGTCACATTTCTCCACCTTTCAGAACGAACTGAAGCCAAGGGAGAAGAACGGCTTCAAACAGACTCAGGTTGAACAACAAGCGTCTACAGGAGGTGAAGGTCAGATTCATGTCTGACACATCATCTCCACCATCTCTCCCCAGCTCACGTCCAAACATCTCAACTTCAACTCTCCAACTTGACCTCCAAAAATCTCAACTTTGACTTTGTCTCCCAACATCTCAGAACTGAGGCCGAGCTGTTAGTCAAGTCAAATTCTTTGTCAGCTGAATCACAGAGGGGATGGGCTTCTCCTGCCGTGTGTCAGACTGGGATTCATGCATTACAACGCACGTATTTTTCAATGTTCAATTTTTTCTTACTCTTTTCTGGACTTGTTTAAATTGGTGCTGGGCTGAGGAATTCAATTCAGGTGTGTTACTGTGTATCTGTGGACCTCTGACCTTTGAGGATGACCTCCAGCTCGTCCCTGAGGATGTCGAAGGTGCTGTATCTGGAGGTGGTCTCAGGGATGATGTTCTTCTTCAGCCAGCCACCACAGGCGTACTGGTAGAAGTTGTCACATGGTTCCACACTCATGTCCATGTTCTCCAGGAGACGAGAGGCTGCACAGAGACACAGAGGAGGAAGACATTCATGACATTCGACCTGAGTGAGTTGACTGGGAAATCATGGGCTATGATGTCGTGCAGATGCATGTGATGTAATATGCTCTCAGAGCTGACAGGCTGTGTCACTAATTTCAGTCCAAAGTAATTAGAGAAAAAAATGATTTATTGTTAAAAAAAATAGACTGATAGTCTTTATGTTTATTTATAGTTAATTTAGGTGTAAACCCAGTGATTAGTCAATTATTAGTCAGAATTTCACAGCAGACCTTCTTTGATTGATTACAGCCTTAGGGTGCATGTGTGTGTGTTTCTCACCTGCCTGGGTGCAGTCAGCTGTGGTACATATTTCACCTGCAGCAACAGACAGTGGGAAAAAACAGTGAGTCAGCAGACTTATTTCCTCTCCCCTGTGACTCCTTCATTCTACTTCCTGCTTCTGATTCTCCTCGTCTCTGCTCCATTTTTCACGCTGTCAGTTCTAAATCTCTCTCAGCTCCTGTTCTCCATCTGTCATTAAGACATCCATCAACCAGAGCACAAGCAGCAGCAACAAGCTGTTCAGAAAAACCTGCTCCTGACCCGACACGCACCTGGACCCACATCACACTGTGAATGAACGTGCACGCTGTCGTAACCTCACAGCTGCAAACGCCGAGAGGAAGGCTTTTTACACCCACAGGTGTTTACATGTTTGTGAAAAACACAACGAGCGACCAGAGTGTACTTCATCAAACACTGGAGCAGATGTTAGAGAGACGACAGCAGCAGCAGCAGCAGCAGGTGGAGCTGTGGAGCCTCAGAAGAATCAGAAGAATAAGAATTAGCTGTGGCTGGAGTTTTGTCCTCTCGTTACCTCCCATTATTAGACACAATATGAAGAATAAAAGGAAAAGATCAAAGGACAGTGTTACAATACAGACACAGGAGGCGCTGCGGAGCTACTCCTGTCTTCAGAAGGGGATTTTAGAGCTGAATACACCTCACATTTTTTAAAATCATACGAGTCATGAGCAGATGGAGCCTGAGCTTCAGATACGTCTCATCTAAGAGATCAGTTCTAGGAGTTCTTCAGACCGTTGTTCAGTACCTTTGTATCAGAATAGAAAAGAATAGAATAGAACAGTTTACCAGTATTATGTAGCAGCTCTAATTTAGATACTCAAAGGTAACACAAATGCCAAAGCAGCAAATCTGAAATGACCACATGACAGCTCAGTGTTAGCTGAGGTGTTAGCTGAGGTGTTAGCTGAGGTGTTAGCTGAGTTACCCTTTTTAAAAAGAGAACCAACAGAATCATTTGGCACGTAGTTCAGTGAGCAGGATGAGTTCATTAAGGTGCAGCAGTGGAGCAGCACAGCTGTACAGCAGTAAACTGTTAAAGTGTGAACAGAAGGAAATAGATACACACATAGCGCTGTGTTTACACAATAATTAGCAACAGACAAGTTAATGCGTGTCAACAACCAGCAGATTGGTTCGTTAACCTAACCTAACCTAACCTGGAGAGAAAGGTTTCAAACCAGTTCCCTACTCCGTGTAAGGCAGCCTTCCTCATCACTCTTCCTCCTCCATGCTCTATGATGTTTGAAATCCCAGCATCAACTCACCTGTCTTGTGTGTGGCAAACAGTATGACTAGAGCTACGATGATGACGAAGAGCAAGGAGACGATGGTGATGAGACCGATCTCCAAAGACGTCCAACGGGGCTTCTTTGCTGACTTTGGGGAGTTGTTCTCCGTCATGGTCAGGTCTCCTCCTTCACCTGCCCGCTGCATAAACTCACCTGCAGGAACAAAGAAGAAGAACAGCTGGACATTTACTGCGGACAGATCTGAGGTCCACAAATGGAAAAGAAACATCATTTGGAGCAAAATGCAAACCCTCCATCACCGTGTTCAAATACCGTATGTTATATATATTTTATATGTTATTCACTGAGAGGATTTCAAACAGCCGTGAACCAGCAGCTCCTGTGTCTCTGTGAGAAAATCACTGATTTTCTCTATGGACTTTGGTCTGTGAGCTAAAATCACTGACTTTAAATTAAATTTAAAAAGAAATTTAGAGTAATTTAGAGACCCCCAAAAATTAACAATGTTTTTTTGGGGGGGAGACGCAGGGGGAAAGGACCGGAGCAGATTCCTTCAAATTTCTCAAGGACTAAAGGTGGAACCTTTCAAAGTTAACCTTTGAAACATTTAAGACTCTCTGCAGGCAATCAATCTCTAATCCATTGTGGAACACACACACACACATACACACCAAACCCTATTAAGAAAGTGTGATTCTTTGTGAAAAGATTCCTACAGCAGAGACAGAGAAACTGTTCTTTTTTAAATCTAAACCTTTCTGGTCAAATCTAGCTAAAAGTTAGCCAGGTTTTTTTGTTTAACTAGCTAAATATTTTACTCATAGCCAAACCCTCGAAACTACAGATGCTGCCCTAATTCACACGAAATCATATATATATATATATATATATATATATACACATATAAAAATATAAATATTCTTTCACAAGCTCAGGTCCAGGTAGGACAGATCCAGGACCTAGATCCAGATCTGGACCCATTCCATCTTAAGTCGCTTTGAGAATTCCAATGTAAAATATTTCCACTGCAGCTTTTAAAAAAAAAAAATTAAAATTAACTAGTGCTGAATATAAGGTAATGTCTTCAGGCTGAAGTCAGAAAACCTCCTGCTCCACATCTCCGTCCACACCGACCTTAACACAAACAATAAATATGGAGGAAATAAAAGACTGCTGCCATGAGAGCTTCATCTTCATCCTGAGAAACTCTGCCACTATTTCAATATTATTTTAGTTTTTATAATCTACAGGCAAAAACATTAGAGTCCCAGAGCAGCAATAAAACCTGGCCTGGAGAGGTTTCTCTTATAAATTCATTCTGTCCAATTCCTGACATGTCGCATTCCAACAAAGTTCCACGCTGCCAGAGGTCTTTAAAAAGGAAACAGGAGATGAAGACAAAGTGGTGTAATAGAAACTCAGATGACTGATGGAGTGTGTGTGTGTGTGTGTGTGTGGGGGGGGGGGGGGGGTGTTAAGAGCCACTTGGAGGTCCTTCATCATGATGAGGAGTCTGGGTCTCAGTCTCAGTCACTGGAGTGTTTCACAGAGAGCACTTTTAGAGAAAGCACTGTTTTTATGCAAATATCAGAAAGTGCCTGAGGTTTGAGTCCAAACGATAACCTGCTGTTAAAAAGGAAAACAAAGGTAGAAGCCAGTTCAGGCTCAAAAAGAAGTCAGCCAAGACATCATCTGAAGCAAGAAATGAAGTGAACGTTTAGCTCCAAGGTTATCCAGAAGATATCTGCTACGAACCTTTCCCAGAAAAAGTCAGCTCAGAAACCAGTGTCCTAAAGATCAGTTAAGGTTAGCCTACAAACAAACAAGAGCATTTTTGCACAACTTATTGATTATAAGAAGAAAACCAGAGGGACAACTCCAACTCTGAAGTTAGTCCAGAAAAATAACCACCTCCAGAAATGCAATATTTTTTGGTGCTTCTATGTTGCCTTCCTCCTCAGGCTGAATGTCCTGCCTCAACCATAGACACACAGGTGGCGTTTTTAATTGTGTGAGACTGATTAGCATTTGGACATTTTTGTGGCGTCATCTCACAAACTGAGACGTTGTCCCACCGTTGATAGTTGTTAAACTTCCGTCCAATCCATGTTATGTCACTAATAATTACCCGGTGACTGTAAAGTAAGTACTGACGTTGGTCAGGGTTAGACCAGAAATACCTTTAGGTTGGACAGAAAAAAAAAATAACAAGGTGAATGATTAGAAGAGGGTTTCAACAATTAAATGATTAAAAAATAATTTGATATAATAATATAAATAAATACTCAGGTCCAGGTTTGGGTCTGAACAGAAGTTCACATTTACGTTAAATCAACTCTGCTGATATCTAAAGTATTGAAACCATTTTCTAAACCTTGTTTTTCTTTTACTCAGTATTCACTTCATGTTTCTGTCCAAAAAAGTCATTAGAAAAGTTATTAAAGCGTCCGCTCTGGACCCTGGGGTCTAATCTCCTCACTCTCAGACCACGTCGGTGGGATTCGGAGGAGCTGCCGAGCGTTGGCTCAGAAATGACAGACCACAGAAGGTGTTATTTTAAGTCAAACTAGGACACATTCCTGTTATTTCTTCACACTCAATTAGGCACATGACATGTCTCCAATCTCACGGGACTGTGGAGACGGTTGACGCTAGAGATTCTGCTGCAGGAGACACTTTTATCACAGAACCTCTGCACGAGAAACCTGGACACAGACACAGTAGTACTGTAGTACTGTAGTACTGAAGCAAGGCAGAGAACAGTAGTTCTATAGTACTGATACAAGGAGGAGCACTGTAGTACTATAGTACTGATGCAAGATGGAGTACTGTAGTGCTGATAGAAGGTGGAGTACTGTAGAACTGATGTAAAGCAGTGTACTGTAGTACTTATTAAAGGTATACTGGAGAGCAGAGAACAGTAGTACTGTAGTACAGATACAAGGCAATGTATTGTAGTGCTTATATATGGCATTGTACCCTAGTACTGATATATAAGGCAGAGTACTAATAAACCACCATCTGAGACAGTATGGTACAGTACAGTACAGTACAGTACAGTACCATGCAGGTTTTGAGGGAAGAGGAGGAGGATGAAGACAGAGGTAAAGAAATGAAAAAGAACGTCCAGAAATATCTGAACATCTGAAACTGTAAACAGTTGAATAGTAACTGCACCAAAGTCAAGAGTTCCTGGGACTGAGATTGGTTCTAGAAATGTACTAGAGGGTAGTCCCTGAATCTGTCCTGGTACTGATGACTGTTACTGTGGTAACACTCACATTCTAGTATCAGGTTCTGATTTACTGGTACTAGCTGCTGAAGCAAACACAAAATCCCTTGTTCAAAACTTCAGTTCCTGAAAGTGAGACACACATAGCTCCTTGCAACAGGGGGGGGGTCACATGGTGAGGATGATGGGAGGGTTACTGGTTTAAATCCTATGATCTGCAGCAGTGTGTTGAGCAAGCCCCAAAAAAGTCCCAGACTCCGTGGTACAGTGGAGCCCACCTGCTGCTGCTCTTTTATGGATGTCAGGATTTAAACCAGCAATTCTACAAGTCCAAACCTGACCCTGTGACCGCGGGGCCACAGGCTATTCTTTATGTGTGGAGCTACAATTACAAAAAAAGAAAACACCTCTCCCTATTTCCAGCTAAGAGTTCCACAAGTTCCTGGTACAGTCTCAGTTCCTGTGACTAGTTTTTGCATTAAAACAAACAAACAAACAAAAAACAGTTTCTGGTACTTTGCACAGTCCCTGAGAGAGAATGAGCGGGATGTTTTTGCAGCAGATTAATTTCTTGTCTGTCATTGTTTGTCACAGCAGTGACAGCTGGAATGGACCAGGACCAGGTTTGGAATGATTCCTGTCTGCAAGTCAAAAATTCCATCCTTTCCCAGGAGATTATTCACTATAATCATGAGGTGACCTCCCAGAACAAACTGCTCATTGTTCCTGCAGGTTCTTTGTCCGTCTGCCTGTTCTTCATCTTCACACGTAAGTTTCACTCACTTTATTTAATAAAGTAAAACAACACCAACAGCTCAGTCAGTTGATGGTTTGACAATTTTCCAAAAAAGAAAAATCAGTAGAGAATTCCAGCCAAGTCACTCACACACAGACTGCTGTTTGGGTTCTGTACTAAGGTTCTGAGGAAGAACTATTACTAAAATATTCACACACAAAAAGAACAGCAACAGCTAAAAGTCAAAACAACTTTTAACAAAGCCAGGACTATTAGCAATAAATAAAAACATTTTGAAGGAAACTATTGCATGATTACATGAAATGGAAAATAGCTAAGATTTGTCTGAAACTTTAAAATAATATCAAAAAGTTAGCGAAGAAAAAGTTTGGTGAAGAACGTGAAGTAGCTAAAGGTCAGCCAAAACACTGAAGCACTAGGTAGCTGTAACTACTAACCTTTGTGCAAAGAAAGGTACATTTTTAAAAAAGAGCCAAAGTAATAAAAGTTCAAACTTTGCTATAACGCCCTCTCTTGGTCAGAACTCGAAACTGCCGTGTCTTTTTCACAAAAATAGACTAAATGAGGAAAACACATGATTGTCTTCTCTATCTAATAATTTGCTGGTTGTAGTTTTAATAAGTCTGTAAAATATACGAACTGTCGTACAAGTAAACACGAGAGACGTCAGAATGAAAGGAGGTTGATTTCATTTTATGTCAAACCTGTAGCAAAGGTGCGTCAGCTCCTGTTGATTAACGCGCTTTTCTGTGTGTCAGCCCGGTGCGTTGACACGCACACGCTAAAAACAAATGTATCTCAGCAAACGCATAAACACGCAGCCCACAAACGCACGCGCACAGAAAGAGAGCGAGTCAACTCACCAGATGTGTCGGGAAATTTTCGGTCGATGATATAAATGGGCATCACATCCACTGATCAGTCATCGATTGTCATCCTGAAATCCTGCTGATCAGGGATCGATCTCCGGCACTGAGGTGGAGCAGGTCTGCTATGGTGGGGACTGGTCTGATGTGGACCGGGCTGAAGATCTTCTGGTCTGAGGTTGTGTGTCGGTCCAAGAGATGGTGAAGCTGCTGCTCCTGCAGTCTGTGGATTTAAGCGAGTCCAAATGGTCCGCCCTTTCTGCCGCCGCCGCCGCTGCCGCCGCTGCTGCTGCTGCTGCTCACGCCAGCGCGCGTACACGCCCACGAGCACGCACCATGAACATGAACACATAGGTTAAACAGGCAGTGAATGGACGAGTGATGAGTTCTTCATTCCCTGTTTTTTTTTTAAACCAGCAGCCTATGACATTAAGACCAAAAGTCCTTAGTAACAGAATCAAACTTAAAAACGGAATAATTCACAAGAATTTATTGGTAATATGTGGTTTTAGCTTAGAGACACCCAGGAGCTGCTGGTCCACTGCTGCCTCCTGTGGTCAGTTTGACACCAAGGGAAATTAGATCAGTTTTTAAACGATTCCGAACGTGATTAAAGCCTGTTGGTTTTTCTGTAAGGTTTTCTATTGTTATCTGTTAAAGGTGACATGTTATGGTCCTTTTCTGTCCATTAAATCAGATCCTCTTAAAGAACGTTCTGTAACACCCTCAGGATAGAGCATCACAGCACTGCTTCAATCCTGTCTAAACTGCCCTGATCCAAACGCTCTGTTTCACTGCCTTTATTGTCAGATATTTCCCTTTGTACATGAACGCCCCCTCGTTGGACACGTTTGACAATGTTATACAAATATTAGTTACAAGTAAAAGTTATTCCAACACTGTTTCATTCCAAACATCATCACCCTGTTCCACGGGTTTGGTTACTTTTCAGATTATTTTTCAAACCCATTAACACAGCAACTTGCATTTGTTTCCCAGCTGTGCATCTTCTTTGTGTATTCATGGCCGACCAGAAAGACTAAATATGTCCCACACATTCATTAAATATATCAGACACACTGTGGAGCGTCAGCATGTCTAGCACACACGTCATCAAAGAAGAACATATGATATAAAGAGAGAGAGAGACGTCAACTGGCTGCTTCAGTCAGTGTGTGCGGCACAGTCACGTCACAAGTGAGGTGTTGCTGATCACTGCTGCACCTCGGCCTTCAGAAAATCTGTAAATCCAGCAAATTTAAACATAGAAATGTTGAAATAATACTTAAATCAAATTTACAGAAGGGTCAAGTGGAAAAACCTCACTGTTGACCACAGAGTCAAAGGTCACCAGGGGTCACACCCAGTAAACTCTGAGGAGTTCAGATGAGCTGCAGGTAAAAGAAAAGAAAAAGTTCTCACAACAACAACAACACCTGTCTGGAGTCTGAGTGGATAAAACTCCCAGGACTCTCATCTTCAGTTAAGACAACAGTGGTGATGTCTCTGGGACTACGGTGATGTGTCTGGGGCGACGGTGATGTGTCTGGGACGACAGTGATGTCTCTGGGACTACGGTGATGTGTCTGGGACGACGGTGATCTGTCTGGGACGACGGTGATCTGTCTGGGACGACGGCGATGTCTCTGGGACGACGGTGATGTCTCTGGGACGACGGCGATGTCTCTGGGACGACGGTGATGTCTCTGGGACTACGGTGATGTCTCTGGAACGACGGTGATGTCTCTGGGACTACGGTGATGTCTCTGGAACGACGGTGATGTCTCTGGGACTACGGTGATGTGTCTGGGGCGACGGTGATGTGTCTGGGACGACAGTGATGTCTCTGGGACTACAGTGATGTCTCTGGGACGACGGTGATGTGTCTGGGACGACGGTGATGTGTCTGGGGCGACAGTGATGTCTCTGGGACTACAGTGATGTCTCTGGGACGACGGTGATGTGTCTGGGACGACAGTGATGTCTCTGGGACTACGGTGATGTCTCTGGGACGACGGTGATGTGTCTGGGACGACAGTGATGTCTCTGGGACTACAGTGATGTCTCTGGGACGACGGTGATGTGTCTGGGGCGACAGTGATGTCTCTGGGACTACAGTGATGTCTCAGGGCTGATCTTCTGCATGGTGATTGGACAGTGTTTGAAAAACAGAAGGCCATTTTAATTGGAGTCATTTTCCTGTGTCAGTCCTGTGTGGCGTTGGTCTAGAGACCCAGGGAGGGTTGGAGGACAGTCAGGGATCAGGACTGTTTTCTGTGCAGGTCTGCCATGGTTTGGACTCAGACTTTCTCTGGGTAACCAGTTCAACCACCAGTCCACAGAGCCTTCTTTACCAGATGGGGTCAAAGATCAGGCGACCCTCCTCCACCTCTTCATCACAGCTTCCACACTGCTTTGGCTCCGTGCTCCGTGGACTCCACCTGTGAGTGAGACAGAGTCAAATCCACTTCTCACAGCAGCTGATCCATGCGGTTCAATTGTCAACAAGCTTCTTCTTCTACTGTTTGATCTCGTTGTCTTCAGTGTGTTCTCTTAAATAAAACCCCACCTCAGCACACTTGGTCTGTCAGCCTTTCAAGATGTTTGTTCTCAACAAACACAGAGTGTTATTGGCTCCTGGAGATGACTGATTTCAGTTGCCCTGCTCCTGGACTGACAGGTGTTAAAGAACACAAACACGGACAAACACAAATCACAAGTGTTCATTTTTAAAGGGAAGGAATGAGGAACAGTCGGCCATGGGCCGTTTTCACCATCAGACGGTAAGGCTACTGTTTCTACAAAGACTGACTTTTGTTGATGTTTGTTTCTGGATCTGGTTCTGTCTCTGCTGAAGTCTGGGATAAAAACAACGATAACAATAATCCTGAAGATACATTTAACAGGAACAACCGCTGATAAAAAGAATGTGAAGAACGTCAAGGCCAATTCCCAGGACGCACACACAGATTCCTGGACTGGGTTCTGCGGTTCTTCTGGGTTTGTCTGTGTACAGACGTCCTTCAGACGAGCACCAACACATGTGGTTCTCTGTAAACAGTCGTTGGTACTGTTTAGAGTTGGCTGACGTTCCTACACCTCCTTTTGGTCCGACGTGCTCTACTTCCTCTCCTTTAAAAAACGGTTTGACTCTTTGACGTTGACGACTGTCTGTTCCTTGTCCTCCCTCCACAAGAGGACGGTGTCTTTCATTCTCTCAGAGTTTTCACTGCGAGGCAGCAAGACAGTGAACAGTGGGGGGAGGTCGGCTCAGCAGAGGCACAACTCAGTCCAGGCTCAAGGCAAAAATGGTTTTAAATGATTTAAAGCTCATCTTTGAAAGCCTCTGTCCACTGGCTTCTTAAATCTAACATGAACTCAGTAACATGGACTCAGTGTCCTGCTGGGCTTCCGTAGCTCACACAGCGTCCATGTCTTCCTCTGTGTTTTTTAACAGGGTTGGTCAGTCACTGGTCAGACAATCAGCAGAGAAGGTTAACAGGTTAGGATTAGAGAGTCAGGTCAGAGGGGGACAGAAACAAATAAAGGACAAATCATCTTTAATTGGAATCTAAGTCATAATAATAACTTTCACCGACTCACACTGAGAACATCAAACCTCAGCTGCAGACAGTTAGGCCGGTCTTAGGTTGGAAATGTAGACTGTGTGTGTGTGTGTGTGTGTGTGTGTGTACGTGTGTACGTGTGCTCCTTAACAGACAGTTGTCTTGGCTTCAAACACCCTCTTTAGTCTGACCTGAAAAAAAATCCATGATTATATTTTTAGAAACCACTGAAGTTCTGACTCTTCCCACTGTTATTCACCGCTAATTGATGATAATGATGGACGGGGGTTGGAGGGTGGGCGGCTGAACTTCCAAGGACATCACAGCCTGAGGTGTCGGCCAGGCTGATGATTAAGGAGCTGCAGAATCTCTGCTCTGATCTTTGACTGAGAGTCTCTGTTTTTATATTTACTGCATACAGGACTGAGGTCTAGTCTGTTAGAGGTCAGATACCACAGCTGTCTGCAGCTCTAACAGGAAAGTCACATGTTCAGTGCTGAGGTGTTGGGCAGGTGTCTACAGTTACCCCTGCAGCAGATGAATCTCCACAATATTAAACTGCAGCAGACACAGGTGTTTGTTTTAATAAAAGAAAACACGCTGCAAACAGCCGCTGAGAGGAATGAGCCGTCACCCCCCATTAACACCCCCCCCCAACCCTATAGCTACAACAGAGATGTTTTTTCCTCATTTAATGAAGGGCATTCATACAACAGAATACATTTGGTTCATGTTTCTTCTCTGTGACGATCTGACCTGCTGAAACAAAGCCTTTTTGGTGCCTGCAGCCCCCCCACAAACCCCACATATTTATGAACACTGTCTTCAACAACGTGTTAGTGTTAGTGGTTGATCTTGTTGAAGTGCAGGGTTTAATGAGATCTGCACAAAGTGAACCCAAGAGACGATGGGAGGTTTTCTGACTGTCCGACACACATTGTTCTGTTTCATTGTTTCATGTTGTTGATTAACGTGCTTGAGGACACCTTGGACCAAGTGTTTGTCCTCATTTATGGACAAGCATCTGTAACACTTTAGTCCACACTGGGCCTGACTATAAATCTGTCATCTGAGCACCAGAAACCGAGCTAATGTGTGACACCTGGACCTGGGGAATATTAGTGAGGAGCATGAGTGCTCAGGTGACCTGCAGACACAAGTGTCTCCCTCCCATAGTCCATCAACAGTTGATCCAGCTTTATGAAAAAGACAATCAGACAACAGTTAGTTCTGTTGTATGAAGAAGACAATCAGACAAGGTTTTGTTTTTTAAATTACTTTTTATTATTGTTAACTATTTGTTTGAATATTTCGTGAAAGCAAGGCTATAGTAAGGCATGTTT